GGGGGGGGGGGGGGGTGGTCAAAAATCATACTCTAAGAAATTACATTCAAGAATTAATATACAACCCTGCATGCATACATACAATTAACAAAATCAATACTTTAGTGAGAAAAGACTTTAAATTCTTTCAAAATGAAGGGTCACTATACATGTGTGTATATCTCTCTAATCACAAAATTACACTTAAAAGATTTGGGAAAACCATGATATTATCACGCCTTACACACGAGATCACATTTCACTTAATATTTACAATAACGTGTTTCAATTGTTTGAATCAGGCACGCACAATGCACCACAACAATTTACATCGAATTTTGAAACATGTTTTGATTTTTACAAAAAAAATCAAATAGTTTAAGCGATTGAAACAACAGCCAACCAACAGCTTATTTAAAATAAAACTTTTTAAAATCCGTAACATGGAGAAAAGAAAAGTTATGTTTAAGTAAATATAAGTTGGCATTGATACTTTTAAATATTTTTAAAAAGTTGAGCGTGAAAACAAACGGAAAACTTGATAAAAAAAACGAAAAATGTTTTTCCTTCAACAATCGTATGATTCTAGGCTAGTTCGGGGCAATTTCTCCGTTCAGGGTCTAATCAGCTGCGTAGACTTCATCAAACAATCGTCTTTGCACGGCTGCAATCGATCAATGAAACATGCAATTTAATCAAATAAGGGGTTGTGTCTTTCGATCTACGCGTATCCGCTGTACTCCTCTTCTGACCTACGCCACATCCGCTATAGTTCACTTCGGACCTACTAGCACGTGGTTTTAAAGCTGTAAGTTGGACATGTGGTCGCAGTAGCGCTCGGCTCAAAAATTGTCTAAACCTAAACCAACCCTCAAATAATAGAAAATAAAACAGCTCTCGTAGGTCCGATGCAGTATAAGGCCGGAAGTTCAGTATTTCAGAGATATTTCGTATAGACGACGTAACTTTTCCCTTCAAGGATGTCATCTCAATTGGACTAATGTTCATATGGACTAGCGTTCAAAAGGACTAAGGACTATGCTGGTGCAACTAAACTGACGCGGTCTGACTTTAGTCTGCAAATGGTTGAATTTACAATTATAGTCCTTTGAATAAAAATTGTTAAATTGAACTAATTTTCCTCTTTTTAAATTACCTCCAATCAAGTTTTAAGTAATTTTAAATTTTTAAACAAAAAATCTAAATGATAATCTTAATATTTGAGGGTTGAGTTATGGACATTTCTAAGGAACCGAGCATTGCGGTTAGGACATTGATTTGAAAGATTTCAATTGAAATGATCGTTTAAGTTTTCCTTGCTAGAAAATTCAAGTGTTAGGGGGAGGGAGGTTGAATCTTTGAAGTATAACTACTATTATACCTGTCTTGAACGGATTCAATCGAAAACAATTGAAAATTTCAAACATGGCGTTCACTGAAAAAACATGAATGTAATAAAAAGTTCAAATCTTTAAAAATAAAATAATAATCAGAGAAGAATACTATTGAAAAAAGTGTTGACCAAAAAAATTTCATGAAAATCCCTTCCCTTAGAGGTTACTAGAGTCTCAAACTCATACAACCTTTGTCTAATCAAGAATGAGGAAGATATAGTCGTTTTACAGTTAAACCCTAAATGAGCCGTACATCGAAAGATTTTATCAAATGTCGTCTTAATAATTTTTCAATGGGTTTTATACTACAGGGTGTCCCACGAAACATGACAAAAGCTTGGTATTTGAATTTATTTGTGACATTTAGTCTTCTATCTACTTTAACATGTATGATTCTTGAAACAACTATCATATAATTCTCCTAGCCCTAGCATTTCCAAAAAGTGGTCTGCGTTTTTTGTGCTTTCAATATTACCAGAGATATAAAGAGTTTGGTTCAGATTTCAATTTTGTTAAATAAAAGCAAAATTGTCGAAATCTGAACGAAATTCTTCAAATCTCGGGCAATATTGGAAGCACAAAAAAGGCAAACCACATTTTGGAAATGGCAGGACAAGGGAAATTTTGTGATTATTATCTCTAGAAATTTACTTCTAAAATTAGGTTGAAAAATAAACGCAGCAAATTATATAAAAAATCAAGACGACATTCAAGTCGTCCTGCATACTGTCATGTTTCGTGGGACACCCTGTAGTTTACGTAAATCTCAGTATTTGCGAAAATAAATACATGCCATGAATATGCGGGAACAGTTTTAAAGAGCTCCATATAATCATTTAATCAAAAAAACTAAATATCTGCAACATTCCATTATCAGAAAGTGAAGAATACAACATTTGATGAATTCTTTCGATGTATGGATTAATGATTTAACTGTAACATAATATCTCCGTTGTTTCTGCTAAGTAAGAAATGCGCTATAATCATGTTTTAGTATAGAAACCACAAAGGAAAATACCTAGAGTTAAAAAGAACAAAAAATGACTTTATAATTCGTATATTAGATAAAGCGGGAAGAGCGGGCATCGTCATTTTTGCATCGAGGGCCACAATTAAGTTCAAGCTTTCAGTCCCTTTAACAACCTTGTCGTTCGAACTGCTTGGATTTCAGACTCTATCAGTTCCGCTGCAGAACATTTTCAAGATTGATCTACAAAATTGTAAATACACAACATGATACTGGTTCATCTATTAGCAAACTTAATAGGTTCATCACAATATTAAATGTCAAATTTTCTGAATGGTCAATTTATGTAAAAACAAACTGACAAAAAATCGAATAAAGATTTCAATTAACAAATTTACGAAATGGTTAAACAAAATAAAAAAGTTGCAAGATAATAGTAAAACTTGGAACGAAAAAAACAAACAATTTAAAAATAACGTCAAAAATAAATGTACGAGATATTGTCCATAATTAGTTCAGGTTTGAATCATGGACAAGTCTTAGATGAAACCAAGAGCTTGACAGTACGGAAAGAATGCTGCCCCAGGACCTCCTCTCTCTGGAATCCCATAAGCCTCCTCCAGGTACTTGCCCAACCTTATTCCTTTCTCCGACAAGGCGTAGACATACGGAGATCCCCATCTTAGAACCAATCCACGCTTTATCAACGGACTTTTCAGACTATTAGTTCACAGAAAACATTCATTGCATAAGTCTATGCATTGCGTTCAAAAAGTCTGTCAACATGTTTCTACTATATTTAATCAACCACTGAACTGTCACAACGTAACCGTTTTTCCTTTAAAAGTCAACCCACTCAACTTGAAATTTTCAAACCAGACTAAAAATATTCCCCAATTTAAATTTGAGTGAAATCAGTTCATGGGTTCATGAGTTATGATTGGACATCCAAATCAACAGACAGACAGACATAATTAAACAGAGATTACTACTTAATATTAAGAAAATGGTGGAGGAATCTTTGGAGTAAAACAAGAAGAAAAACTTTCGGATGTCTATAGCAAAGAAGTTCTGAGTAAGAAGGGTACAAAATTTGGCTCGAATTTAATTTTAAAAACTAAGAAATCGTTGAAAAAATTAAATGCATGGATACTACTCCAAATCTTTGTGGAATTTATTCTATGATGGGTTCCTTGAAAATCCATTGACAGACCCTTAAAATTAAAAACTATTCTGTAATCAACCGGTTTTAAAGAAAGCAACCCATGAGAAAGGAAATAAGCTTGATTAATCGAAGGGAAATTATGTCCGTTAGCTTTCCACAAGCAGGAGAACATAACACATCCGGAGTCTGATACTTGACAGCTCTCCTTTATAAAGGATTATTAGAATAAAGGAGTTTTATGCTAATACTACAAAATCCAGGAAAATACCAAGACCAAAAAGTTTAAATTTTATTTTATCAGTATTTTACAAAATCGATAGTTAATTGTAAAGGAATTGCCAGAAATAATTTTTTTTAAATTCCTAATTATCTTTGCAACCTGATAGAATAAGCATTTGATATTTCAAACTTAGATTATTTTATTTAGCAGAATTCTAAAGTTTGAAATATCCAAGGTCTAAGACATTTAGGTTCCTAAATAATATGGATTAGATAATTATAGTTTGTTGTAAAGACTTAATTTCTTTGACCATATCCATGGTCATGGTCACGGTCGTTATGTCCTTGGTACTGTCACTACATGACTGAATGTTTCTGTGCCTGATGCTACTCTCGATGGAGAAGAGGCTTGTCTTGCTCGCGACGAAAGGGAAAAAGATCTGTGAACGCACCAGAATCTCTCGCTTGTACAGATACCCTTTGTCGTCTGCAGCCTGCAAATACAGGATGAAAAATGATATTTTTTTATACAGTGTGTCCTACATATTGGATCGTGAATTGAGGTTTTCGGGACTTATCAGGAAATGTTAAAGAATGAAACATTTTAAAAAGTTGATTGAGTCTAATATAAAATTTGCGTGTAGAAAAAAATGTAGGGTTTTCAAGTATGTTCATATTTAGTCGTTTAAATATTCACAAAAAAAGTATCATTTGTTTACAAACACTTAAATCGTTCAGGCTAAATCTTAAGAATAGATTCCTCACTCATCCTTTTGAAAATTGAAAAACATGCAATTATTTTTATAATTTTTCGAGGAGCTATTTGGCTCATTAAAAAGTTGATGTATTTTTAGAAACCGAACAAAAACATATTCGACATTTTTTTATTTTATTTTAGTTATTATGAGAATATTCGACATTTTATCAAAATTGGTGAATGTTGTTGTGATAACATTTTAAAGGAATTGAGCTTTTGCCACAAGCTCAAATTTACTAACCACTATATCTTTGGAACCTGAAAATCTTAACTTTCTACATTTAAAACTTAGACTATTTGATATAACATAATTCATTGTTTGAAATATCTAAAGTCGACGATATTGCGTTGCAAAGATATATGAATTAGAAAATCAGAGTTTGTGGCGAAGACTCAACTCCTTTGACGTTATCAAACTAAGACAGGGTTACCCAAGAGAGATAAGAATTTAGTGACGACTGTAAGAAATTTAACCAGTTTTTTCCTTAGTCTTAGTTCAAAAAGAATTTATTTCAATATTTACAAATAAAATTAAATGAAGAGGACCAGGCCCAACGTTCATTGTTTTATTAAGAGAATTTCAGATCGTCAGTTTAAACTCATCTTTTGTGGGTAACTCTGTATTGTAACTTTGTCTACTTGTTTGAAATCAATAAATTCAAAACGGCTGAACCGATCAGGCCTAATCTTCCAAAACCTAGACCCCATGACCAAAAAGTAAATGAACGGTTTAGATAAATAGAAATTTTGTCTCCAAAAACAATGTTAAAATTTTAGGAAATTTCTAAAAGATAACAGAAATATTTCTGTGAATATTATTTTTTTAGATAAAAGGAGAAAAATCGTTTCATTTAAATCTAAATTTATGACGATTTACAAAAGTACCCTATGTAACTTAATTGAAGGTTCTGTTGTGAATAGCTGATGGCACTCTGTTCAGTTTGTAAGTGAATCATACCTGTTTCTCACTGTAAAGAGCTCTGATCACAGCATAGGTTCCAGTTCCATACACAGGAATATATCCATCGTATCCATCACGTTCTAGGGATTTCAGGGCATTCTTAGCAGCCTCAGTTGTCGATTTACTCCTTTCTTCTAAAGCTTCCTCGTTTGTTCTAATCCTGGTGCTAGAAACTTCTCCGTGATTCCTCTGCTCCTCAGTAGTAATTCTATTATTAGTACTGGAACCTTCTTCAACAGTAGTATTATTCTGAGAACTTGAACCTTCTCCGTACATATTCCGAGCTTCAGCAGTAGTATTATTCTGAGAACTGAAACCTTCTCCGTAAATATTCCGAGCTTCAGCAGTAGTTTTATTCTGAGAACTGGAACCTTCTCCGTATAAGTCCCCTTCTACAGCAGTGGTTAAGTGCGGAGTACTCAGCCATTCTCCGTTAATATTCCGTTCTTCAGCAGTAGTTTTATTCTGAGAACTGGAACCTTCTCCGTATATATTCAACTCTTCAGCTGTAAATGTAGACTTTGCACTTGTAAATCTTCCATATTGGTTCCCATCTCTTATCCCATAAATGGGTCGTTTATCAATAGAAGTATTACTCCTAGAGCTAGGACCTTCTCCGTAAATGTTACGCTCCTGAGGAGCAGCTCTATTTAGGGAAAGCTCCCTAAATATGTTACGTCCTAATATATTCTCCTGAGAAGCATAAGTCTCGGTACTTATTCCTTTTCCGTAAATGTTCCGTGCAACATAAGTATTCTGCTTACTCGAACCTTCTCCGGAAAAGGCCATAGAACCCAAACCTTCTCTATAAACATTCTGCTCATGAGTAATATTTCCGTACATGTTTCGTCCAAAAGCAGCGTCGTTACTTTTAACACTCGGACCTTCTCCATAAACTTGTTGTTCCTGATGAAAACCAATCTGAACACTTGAACCTTCTCTGTTATAGTTCTGGGTTAGTCTCATTCTATAGTTATTCTCGGTTTTATTTTCATCTCCGTACGAATTAACTCTCATCTCTCCTGTGTCGGCTCCCATTGCCGTATTATCATAGAAACAAAGATTATCTCCAAGCTTCCTCTGCAGGTAATCCAACCTTCCGGATTCTCCGCTACCAGCACAGCTTACATCCTCAACCTGATCAGTTTAAATGACAAGGTTGTTAACCAGTACTCGGTTTGTTAAAAAACAGGTATAAGAATTATGAATAATATTGATAACTTATCTTTCTTACCCCCATGAGATGCAAGTAGATACTGATGTTAATAATAAAAAAGGTGTTTATTGTTTTAGTCCTTTACGTTTCTCACCAATTATGAACAATCCCAGTGCATTTAGTATCCTGATCTAGATGCTTTCTATTTTTTCAAGCAATAAGTAATCTGTTAATGGTCCAATAACACGCCTCAAATCTAGTTATTCCTAATTTTTTTAAACATGGTGGCAAAACATTTGATATTTCTAACTATATTATCTGGCAGACTTCATAGTTTGAAACATCTGAGTCCGAATTTAATGAATTTGAGCTGCGTCTCAAACCCGCCAAAACCCGGTTTCAATTGAGCGCAGGCTTAAATCTTGAAACATTGAATAACATTTTAAGTGGAACCAACCATATTTGAGCCGCGGCTCAAATCCTTTATATTTGGCCTCTGATATCTAAGATTAGGTTCCAGTTATCATAAATTTTAATTCGGAGTTTGAGGCAAGTACTCAGCTTCTTTGGGAAAACAAAGCGTACCTATATAGATCCGTGCACTTTATGTAGTGTTGTTAACTCTTATGGGTTGTTTATTAAAAACTTTCAATGAAACTTCACACACTTTATAACCATATTCGGTTAACATTTGATTTTATTCAACGTTGCAATATTTTATCCTAAAAACCAGAGATATTGTCAAGTACTTGAAAACCTGTTTGCTAAAAACTATCGTTTTGCATAAACTCCGATAAATTTTGACCATGATAAAAAATGTGCATCAACAAACCCAAAACAAACCTATAGCAATTAACAACTCTCGTAAGGTCATGGATCGGGATTCTGAAGACATGCTTTAAATAATTAGTTACTTAAACAATCTTGTTATTACCAGGGTTGAAGTACTTACTTTCTTAATGTAGGTTTAAACGCATAATAACATGAAATAATTAGAAATGACAAATTCCCAACATTTGAGATTAATAAAATTTGGGAATTGTTAAACCCAGAATATAATAGCCCCCCCCCCATTTTTCTCATAACTCCCAAGTTTACTCAAACAAACTTAAGTTTTTTTTATCATAACAAACTTTTGTTTGAGATAAATTGAGATGACAAACGAAACATTGATAAAAACTAAATTATCCGAGAAACTTTACCTGATTCACTGTTTCTCTCACTGTAGAATCAGATTCTAATCGTTTCTCAATCTGAACCTGGCTAGCATTGTTGAAGTTTTCTTGATTGTCACATTTCTTGTGATGGTGAATAACCGTCTCATTTTCAGAATTAATGACGTGATCGTTAGAAATACTGGTTAAATCCTCAGGAGCAGGGTCCATCTCCTGAATCCTTCCAACCTTATCTCCTACCACACCCGGAGATTGGATTTCTGCTCCGTCAATAACAGGTTCTATGCAATCCAGAGCAGAGGGTTCCCCATGCTGTCCTTGGTTGTTCCTTACGGTGTTATCTTCATTCTTTGACTTCAGCTAACAATGATGAGCATAAGAATTTTATAATACTAATAAAAATTGTAAAATTAATTTCCCCATCCAATAAAATGTGCCCATTAAAGTATGGCATGGCATGTAGACGTCTTGTGTCAATAATTAACCCATTTCAAATTTATTTTCATGTAAAAATTATAAAATTAAACCCCGGCCCCCACCTCCTTAATCTCGATGTCAATCAACTATGCTTTCCTTTTCATCTTTACAGGGTTCCAACTTCACTTTTACATTATCTTCTTTACATTCTTTCTTGACTACGATCTTCTTCTCCTCCTTCTCATCTTCCTTCTTAATTCCAAAAATCTTCTCCCCTTCTTTCTTCTTCTTCAGATCCTGGTTTAGACTTGACCCAGAGTGTTCCCTCTTCAGTCCTTATAATAAAAATATCTTTGATTTACGAAAAATTAGGATGGCAAGAATGACAAGCATGGCATTAATTAATTAAATCATCCCTGTTAACCATTGTTTAAAGCAAGGGGGGCAGAAGAACCCAATAATTCAGTGTGAAGCACAACACGGCCAACTATTGTGGTTACAACTAGTTTTTGCCAATTGCTTGGTTTTAACCTTGCTTTAATTAAACATCACCAATTAAGAGATTCTAAACTAACTCGAGATCCATCAGAGTAATAATTACTTTTCTTAAACCTGTTAAAACCATATCTAATCGTGAAAATTTAAAATTCAAATTTTTCTAATTTAATGACACCTTATGCCATTAGCCTACTGAAAATTAGTATGCTCTTAATTTATGAAAATGTGCATAATTTTCAGATTTTAGAAGTATAAAGCCTAAAATATATCAATTGTAATAGATATGTATAGCAGAAAGAAAATAGAGGAGGGGGGGGGGGTCAATATGACCTCCGCCCCCCAGCCAAAAATCGTATATACTGGGACGGACCCAAGAAGGGCTGTAATAAAGTGAAATTGAGAAAGGGAAGCACATCTAGAATACTTTTTAGTATTTTTAACGTACCTGTACACGAATTTTTTTTCTCGGCCATTTTATCTAATTACAGTTCTTAATTGCAAAAAAAAAAATATTTATATCTTCTCCGTTCATTAACGAGGGTCTGTCCTATAGAACGATTTTTGGACCTCGACCTCCCCCTCCTCCCTCCTATCAATTTTGTACATGATCTTTTGGGGTTAGGTTAGGGTGAGACAATGATTGGGCCGAGCGCTGCGGCTAGGACAGGTTATGGGGCCGAGCACCGCGGCTAGGACAGGCAAGGGGGCCGGGCGCTGAGGCCACACGATGGTAATTATAACCGTTTCTTACATATGGGATCATGCATGTACAAAATTGATAGGAGGGGGGGGAAGTCCACAAATCGTTTTGTAGGAATTTACCAGATCATGTACCGCATATTGAATTTATGAACACGCATAAATTCAACTCATACAATATTTGACATTTAAACACAATATGGCACGGGCACAGAAAAGAACGAGAACAGTTAGTTTTCACAAATATTTGTTTTGGTTTCGTCATTATACTACTTCAATGTGTACACAAAAAGTATGACGTATACTGATTAATAACATGTTTGAACTCGCATGAAGAAAATTGGGGAGAGTGCTGAGAAATACGGATAAGGTTTCTTCATCAAAGACGACTTTAGCCATATCTTAAAGGGTATTAAATTCTACGCAGCCCTAACTACGTCATATCCGAATACAAGAATACCGCTGTCCATTCCCATCTACGCATTGATAAAAAAATGAAAGCAAATTCATCGAAAACTTGGTAAATCGTTATAAAAGTTATGTTATGAAACATCCTATATATATCCTTCTGTAGTGATACGCATCAAAAGTGTTAACGAGTGAAGTTTGCATTGTACTTCCCTATTGAAATTTGGGAAAATGAAGCGAAAAGGTTCAAATTCCGTTTTATGAAATTGCCAAAATTTCTAAAACTCCTAAATTCTGATAACAGCTCCTAAAATTAAAAGATATTTACAGATAGAATATAATATTAAATGGCTGACAAACTGAATGACTTGGCAGGAAGGATGGGAAAGGCTCCCAAAGGTCTTGGAACAGGAATTAAACTATTGGCCGCCGCTGCAGCAGGTAATTCGTCAATGATAAGTCTTGGTTGGTATTATCTAAGGAGAATGTTGTGTCTAATAAATTTACAGGAGGGGGGGGGGGGGGAAATGGAAAGACTAAGGTTAGTCAGATGAAATTATAATATTTAATTAATTCTACTGATCTTGTTGAATTATACGTTATTTATGGGTGTTACGTGCATTTTAAATATCAAAGATTACTTAGAATTGCTCTCATGGCTCCTTTCAGTTTTCAATAGATTTTTCACATTTGATAAGAAAATTAGTTTTGATTAATTGGTAATTCCCTATAATACGATTTTCGGAACCCCCCGCGCCCCTCCCCCCTCCTATCAATTTTGTACACGGATCTTATATGTAAGACATGATAATAATTGACCATGTGTCCACAGCGCCCGGCCCCCTATCCGCGGCGCTCGGCGCCTTAGCCTGTCTTGGCCGCAGCGCTCGGCCCAGAAAGTGTCTTAAAATACATTAAATTTGTTGAAAATTGCTGAAAGAAGTGCTCATGTACAAAATTGATAGGAGGGGGAGGGGGGGGGTCTAAAAATCGTAAACTAGGACGGGCCCGATTAAATTTATATATAGTTCAATTCCAAGATCAATTAAGCAATGTATACTCTAACAAAAACATCAGAATATTATACTTCAAAATTATTGGTATTTTCCAGGTGCTTATGGATTACAGCAGAGTATGTTCACAGTGGATGGAGGACACAGAGCTATTATGTTTAATAGGATCGGAGGAATCCAGGATTATGCTCTTACAGAGGGATTACACTTCAGAATCCCTTGGTTTCAGGTATACAGACAAGTGGAGAAACTTTCAGATATTTTATGTAGTAATATCTGTTTGTTTGTTTGTACCCCGGGACCACGGAAATGTTCTTAGCTTGGTTTTGAGAGTCTTAATTGAATGGGTCAACTTTTATAGGGAATAATGGCTAAAATTGCAAATTTAAGACCCTAGTTTGGGTAAACAGCGGGAGTAACTATGAGTACCCTGGGCAACGCTGGGTTCCAAAGCTAATAAATTATGAAAGTAAAGAATTATTTAAAGTAATAAGTTCTCCTGTCAGTCTGAAATTTTTCTAGAACCAAGCCTGACTCAGACTGATAAAAGAAATGTTTCAAGCTCCATTCGTCCCGGTGTTAGTAAGTTGAGAAGGGGAGGGTAAACCGTCAAGGGGAAGTGGGGGGGGGGGAGTTATCATTGTTAACTTTAAATTAGCTGAGAAGATACAACTCATTTAAAAAATATAAGGGAATAAAGAATTAAATTTTTATGCCATTTTTAATAAAATAACCGGGAATAAAATTGCGTCATCAACCAAAGGGAACAAAATGGGAGTTTATTTACTCCCATTTTTTTTTTAAAAATTAACGTTTTTGAATGCCATGCATTGCTATTTATTCTGGATAAAAAAAATTAATTACGTTATATTTCAGTATCCTATTATTTACGATATCCGCGCTAGACCAAGAAAGATCACCTCCCCTACTGGTAGCAAGGATCTACAGATGGTTAATATCTCTCTCAGGTAAAAGAAAAAAGGGGAAGAGGAAAGAAAAAAAACACTATAATAAACACTAAAAAACCAAAATTTAACAAAAACCGTAGCAAAAATCACAGGGGGGACCTTGAAGTTGACCTATTTAGGGTACCAAAATGCTCCATTATACTTCTACAATCCAATACATTTTCTCTATAAGAGGGCTCTGCATTTGGTTACCTTTCATACAACGGATGCAATTTCTTTTACACTTAAAAGGACAAGTCACTTTTTGTTGAAAAATAGCCCTCAAATACTCAGCTCACATGATTACGCCTTGATATATATCTCAGGCGTATTTATTTTAATATCAGACAAATTTTCTTGCTTTTTTGTACCGAACTAATTCATGTTGACAAAAGCTTGGTAAACTCGGTTTTTTTCTCGCATATTATAATGTTTCTTGGTTTTCTTCTCCAAATTGATCATTCGTAAAATTTAATACCTTTAAAATTCCCTTTTTTAAAGGTTTATTTTAAACATCCTGACTATTCATAGTGTTACTTTTCTGTTGAAAATTATAATTTTTTTCGAACATATGTTGATTGTAAATATTGAACGTGAATATTTAATTTTCTAATTAGATCATCATTTTTTAATACACGTGTCGATTTAGAATATATTAATATTGTAGGCTCAAATATTTAATATTTGTATCAAATATTGTTACATTGATCACGCCACTCCTTTAGGTTGTGCCTCTCCTAGGTAGTAGGAGGCCGGGCTGTTTTAGAAAATATCTGGACCAGCTTCTTGCACATCTCATTCTCGTATAATCTTTGTTTTGTTTAGGTTTCCATGCTGATCAGGAAACAGTTGACCGACAGGGCCAGAGATTTCAACATTATCCTGGACGACGTGGCTCTTACCGAACTCTCCTTCGGTAAAGAATACGCCGCCGCGGTTGAGGCTAAGCAGATCGCCCAGCAGGAGGCCCAGAGAGCCGCCTACACTGTCGAGAAGGCCAAGATGGAGAAACAACAGAAGATCGTCCAGGCCGACGGAGAAGCCCAAGCTGCAACTATGCTCGGAGTTGCAATCACCAAGAACCCCGGTTATCTCAAGCTAAGAAAGCTGAAGGCTTCCACTCAGATCGCAACTGTGATTGCACAGAGTCAGAACAGAGTTTACCTTAACTCAAGCTCCCTTCTCCTCAACGTGGCAGAACCCTCCTTTGATGCTGCCCTCCTGGGGCTTGCCAAGAAATAAGCGCCATTTTATTCTATAAAATTGGTTGAAATTCTTTGCTTCAACCTCTGCCTGGTTATTTGCATTATGTCAGTTATATTTAATAATAAATCCGTCTTCTTGACTTTAAATCTAAGAAGTGTAGTTTATTACAGATAAAATGCCAAGACGTGGACGTGCTGCATCCCCTCCTCCTCGTGCCCCTGCTCGAGCCTATGCTCCTTCCCGCGCTGCTGCTCCTCCTCCAAGGGCAGCTGCTCCACCAGCCCAGAACCTACCAGCTGCTGCTCCTGCCTCTGCTCCCATGATGGGCGGAGCTGCTTCACAACAGCCAAGTATGTTCAAGCAGATGGCTGCTACCGCTGGAGGTGTAGCTGTTGGATCAGCTATCGGCCATGTGGCCGGTAGCGCAATGACCGGCATGTTCAGGTATAAGGGAATCTTTTAAATATATTTTTTTATTTTATATGCATAAACTATAAAAAGTAGGATTGATATTAATATTCTGATTTATTGATATTGAATAAATATTTCAATTTTTCCAATAATGTTAAGCTGGGTATTCATAAGTCAACCAACCATAAGCCCTCTCTTTCAGTTTCCCTCCTAATTTCATTAAATGAGAGGGGGGGGGGGGGGGGGGGGCAAAAATATGAGTCTCACAACAAATAAACACTTAAGGAAAAGTAAGATATATTAGAAAAAAACAAGTTTTAAGAAAAGGTTTGATGTCTTTTTTTAAACTTTTATACTCTCCATTAATACCCTTAGAATACATTTAAAGAAACAAGAACTACAGGTTTAAAAATATCAAAATATAAGAAACTAGTGTCCGAATTTATTGAATTTAAGCCGCGTCTTAAATCCGCCAATAACTGGTTTTAATTGAGCGCCGGCTTAAATCTTGAAACATTGAATACAATTTTAAGTGAAACCAACCATTTTTGAGCCGCGGCTTAAATTTAAGCCGCCGCTCAAATTCTTTAAATTCGGTCTTAAGATATATTTTACAAATTCATTAAATTCGGACACTGATTCTCTGGATCTACCTTATCGTGTTATTTTAGAGTACTGTCCCGACCTGATTCTCTGGATCTACCTTATCGTGTTATTTTAGAGTACTTTCCCGACCTGATGCTCTGCACCTACCTAATCTTGTTATTTTAGAGTACTGTCCCGTCCTGATTCTCTGGATCTACCTTATCGTGTTATTTTAGAGTACTTTCCCGACCTGATGCTCTGCACCTACCAAACCTCCACCAAGAGCTTGGTCAGGATTTTGATGACAAGGTTCTTCCTTCCATCTGTAACGAGGTTCTCAAGGCTGTTGTTGCCAAGTTTAACGCCAGCCAGCTTATTACACAGCGTCAACAGGTTTGGTTACCTTTCATACAACGGATGCAATTTCTTTTACACTTAAAAGGACAAGTCACTTTTTGTTGAAAAATAGCCCTCAAATACTCAGCTCACATGATTACGCCTTGATATATATCTCAGGCGTATTTATTTTAATATCAGACAAATTTTCTTGCTTTTTTGTACCGAACTAATTCATGTTGACAAAAGCTTGGTAAACTCGGTTTTTTTCTCGCATATTATAATGTTTCTTGGTTTTCTTCTCCAAATTGATCATTCGTAAAATTTAATACCTTTAAAATTCCCTTTTTTAANGACAGGTCAGTGAACGGACACACTCCTGAATTCTTAATTTTCCCTTTTAATTGATTAATGTTTATTTGACATTTGACACGCGTCTGTTATCATGCAAATCTTGTGGTTAGACAATTGTTTAAAAATCCAAGCAGGGTTTTACAAATATTAAAAGTATTTAATCACACTCCTAGGTGGGGAAAGTTTTTTACTCGTTGCATCATTAGTGGAAAAAAATTTCATTTTTTTTTGTTTAAAAAATGTTTTTTTTATCTCTTAATAGTTTTAAAACTATTCAGTAAAACCGACGCGATTGGGGAAGACTTTGTAAAGAAATATTTACCCCTTAATAACAAGTTAATTTAGATTTGTCATTTCTATTTTGTTATTTAGTGGTGGAAGCAGCAGCAACGAAGCTGCTCCTGCTCAACAACAGCAACAGCAGCAGTACGGACAACAACCTCAATACGGTCAACAACAACAGCAAGAGAACGGTACAAGCTTATTTCAAGCTCAAATAAAAAAATCGGATTATAAATTGGACCTAAAATAAATTCACAACATTGATTTGACATTTTCTCAGTTTTAGTCGCGTTACCATTAATTGTATCTATCTATCCACAGGACTCTGTTAATACGTGACTTTAGTGTAACTATTGCGGTTTTACTTAAAATAGCGCTAGCGCGACTAAAGGATCTATCTTATAACACAAAGAAACTGCTATTTGTGTCTTTTTTAATGCTTATTTTAAAAATTAAATATGTGTACATAATTTGTTAATATAGAAATAGAAAATTATTGAAGTTTTTTCCTCAATCTCGCTAATTTAAATTAAAACACAAATTTAATTTAATCACAATTATCGGCAATGGTTTAAAATCTTTACTATCCCTGTATTTAGGACCTTGTGCCTATGAGATTAAGAACTTTATCCAGTGTGCACAGAACCAATCTGATATCAGTCTTTGTGAAGGATTTAATGAGGCACTCAGACAATGCAAACAGGTTTTCAATTCATTTTCTCATTTGTTTTTTGACAGTTGATAAATGAACAAGAAAAAAAAACATTAAAAATCGTTTTAGAAATAATAACTTGGAGCTCGGTTTTCTCAAAAAGTTTAATGTAAAATTTAAATGCAAAATTTTAAAGGGACTGTAAGCATGATTTCAAATTTAAAAAGAATATCATCCTCGACTCATTACGGGACCCTTTAAACCTTTGACTGATCTAGGATGTCGGACATATCCATATTTGACTGATCTAGGATGTCGGAAATATCCATATTTGACTGATAAAGGATTTCGGACATATCCATATTTGACTGATAAAGGATGTCGGACATATCTATATTTGACTGATCTAGGATGTCGGACATATCTATATTTGACTGATCAAGGATGTCGGACATATCTATATTTGACTGATAAAGGATGTCAGACATATCTATAAAAATCTACTGAAACGATTTTAATAGTTATACACTTAGTCTGCAACCTGTTTTAGAATTGGCAGACAAAATTTCTTCTGAATGAACGTTTTAAATCCGCTTTTAACGTACAACAGTACAACAGTCGGTACTTTGAGTTGTGACTGAAAGTACCAGATCATCTACGTTGAGGTTGAGGTACAGGCCGCGTTTTAGAGGAATTCAAGCGGGTTCCAATATGTTAAAACAGAGATCTTTCTACTCGATGAACAGGCAAAGTTTTTAAGGATACTGTTTTAAATCGGGCATTGCTCTCTTGGCATGAGGGGTCACTTAAAATTACTCTCACAGTCCCTTTTATCACAGCTTGATCTGCGATCTGATGAATTAGCACTTATCTTGAAATCAATGAATGATAAAATCTTATTATTTTATTGATTATTTTTATTTTAGTACAACGGTATGTAAGACGAGACGAGCATTGCTGAGAAGGCCGGAGAAACAAAACATTTATTCAACTTTAGTTTAATTATGAAACATCTATTTAACCTGATCTATAAATTACGAAATCTATTCACGAAGGGTCAACCTTAGAATTCGTTCCTTGCAACTTTAAGATTCCAATAAATTTGAGTTAAATCTTGTTCAAGACGTTATTGTATGAGAACTAGATTTTTAGTCTTTCTAGTAGAATATGCACTATATTAATGGCTTGGAACATTTATAGTTTTAAACTTTCAATTTTTTGTGAGAAATGAGATTTTTCTCTTTTCAGAAGAAATGGAATGTTTATCGAGTCAGAACGGATTAAAAAATAAATAATCTAGGTTAGTCTTAAATTTTGGGGTTTAATAAAAGGATGTCAACTTATATAATGGACCTGAGCTGAAAACTTTTAAATATTCTTAATCACGATTGCTTAATCTGATTATCCAATGGACACACTTCTGATTTTCTTCTTATAATCCTCTTATTGGATATTTCTATTGTATATAAGTTACGTTTGATAACAATTGCAGATACAATCATACAATGCTACATTGATTGGACTAATATCCGATTGAATCAAAGTCAGCTGTTCACAAGGCAGCTTTTAAAAAGAGCATTTAAACAAATATAAATTTAATCATGTTTGAAATTATTAAACATTAATCCAACACTCACGTTCGTTCAATCGATGTTTAGTTCAATTGATATGACACCATCAACACGAGAAATCAAGACTGAATTTTCAAAACTTTAAGAGTACATCTTTACACGACAAGCTGATTGGTTAGATTTTTAACTTCTTTCTTTGATATCGAATGCGTTTTAAAATAATCTCGGGTTTAGTAAAACCAGGAGTTTAAGCATTAATCTTGATCTCCACCATTCTAAAGTTTTCAGCTCTGGTGTGAAATAAACTTTAATTTACAGATTTATAAAGGTATACTTTAAATATATGTCTGATCAAAAATGAATGAGAAAACCAGAGTTGCTCTTTAAAAATTGATTATTCTCTGTCACAGACTTATCCGAGTTTTAAAGGTTACCGAATGTCGCTTGAAATAACGCCTGTGGTCCCTAAAAAATGTGAATTCACTCTCAAGATCATTGAAATTGGAGCATTCACTTTTATGAAGAAGAAAATTAGAATTTTTAAGTGTGAGGGAAATGCTAGAAAAAGAGGTGTAAAATGAGTATGACGCCCGATACGGCACAAGAATAATCCACAATTGGCCGAAATGATAAAAAACGACTAATGCTTGCGGCAATTACAATTTGGGGCGGGTAGATATACGCAATAAGTTTATTGTTGTTTTTCCCTTAAAAGTGATAGACAAAAACAACGTTTATTGTTCTAGTTGAATAATCCTCAGCTCAGTGAAAAAGTTATTCGCAATTTTAAGTTGAATATTCGGTCCGTCAAGTTTGTTCCATTTGATTCTCTTATCTGTATTTAGGATGTACTATTGTATCGGATGGCCCCGTGTGGCCCGGTTGCCCCAGGATGAACCTGGAACCCCGGTCCAAGTATCCTGTAATAGGGACAGAATCCTAGTTGCTGTGCTAACTACAGATTCGGTTCTTATTTGGTACAATAAGGTGAACTTTCCTTTATAACATATCTTGGTATTTTCTGGTCAAAATATAAAATTTGAAATTTCATTGAAAATAAAATAAGCTAATGAGATCCGGTTACATGTCTGCATAAGAGTGGTGCCCTTCAAAACATGTTCTCTATAAAAATGATATGCACATTTTTGGCTTTTTGCAGCAGAGACGAAGAAGTTTGATTTTAAAAAAATAAAGTTGAAAAGTAACAATATCCTCCTAATCGTTATTCAGAATAGGTTTTGGATTTTAACTTGTACAGCTCGTTATGAATGGGATTGTTGTACATGGGCATGCTTTGAACCTTTAAATGTTTAGGTTCTCCTTAAGTTACGTCGATGAACTCTTTAATGTTTAGGTTCTCCTCGAGTTACGTCGATAAACTCAAATGTTTAGGTTCTTAAGTTACGTCGATAAATACTTAAAATGTTTAGGGTCTCCTCAAGTTACGTCGAAAACTCTTTAAACAGAAATTATTTCTAGTTATTTTTTTCTTCTCCTCTAAAAACAGTTATAATAAATTGTTAACCACTTTTTTTCAGCCCTGCGTTCCCATAATCTCCCACCGACGTAGCTCCAGTTCTATCCTGGAGCTAGGGGAGAACTGCATACTGGTCTGGAAACCGGATAGTTCTATGATAGCTGTAGTTACTACCGGCGGACATGTCGTCTTCTACAGCATTGTAGTTCTCACTGAGGTAAAAATCCGCTAAATCTACAACTTACAATGGTCGATTAGATGACATATCTATCTATCAGATAAGTCTTTAGCGTGAGACATCTAGCGGCCAAACTACGTCTTTATGGTGGGCTCTGTTTAAACGTCATTAGGGAAAGAATGGGCTCCGATAAATCAACAATTGCTGAAGTACTAGGTGTCCCACGAGACATGACAGTTTGGCAATAGTTTTTAAAATAGATACATGTTAAAATTGATTGAATTCGCACACTTAAAAAAAAATAACCAACATTTTTTTCTCTATGTCTGAGTGTAGGCCTTCAATTTGAAAACATATCCGCTCCTGATATTCTTCTTGGATCATTTCCTTATTATTAACTTTAAATAGTTGATTTCTTGCATATGCTGTAACCACGTATTTAATATTTAAGACTTTTTTCAGTTTATATCGTTAAATTTTACTATAATAGGACTGCCATACGAGGAGTATACGAGGTTAATATCTGCAAGAAGCCCCATTTAATATTTTTTAGATTCCAACAACTTCGCAAGTTATGGAAGAAGACATTTTAAACCATTCACCAATTGTCATGTTTCGCGGGACACCCTGTAGGTTGTTGAAACAGAATTTAAAGTAAAATGGAGCAAAATCATTAATCAAAAACAGTGGAAAGTATTAAAGGAAAAAGGTGTACTTTGTACTTTGTACTCATGTTTGTTTGTTGAATAACATTATTTGAGCATATTAATGAGATGAACGGTAAACGCTGAAGTATTAAAATGAGTAATATCTTTCCCAATTAATTTTTGCACCCAACCCATGATCTCTGTGACCTTTGATGACCTTCACAGTTATAACTTGCATTGCATGAGAACATTGTGAAACATAAACTAATGCAAAGTCCCACAAAAAAAATGTTTTTTATGATGCATTGCTTATTAAACTGCTGTTCTGGGTTTTGGAAAGATATTTGTCAGAGTACTGAAAAAAAAATTTTTTTTGTAAAACAATAATGATTAATTAATTGTTTTTGTTTCAGGTGAAAACACTATATGATCAGGTTGACCCTTCAAACATGTCGCTGAAGAGGGAGAGCGCTGAATTATATTTTAAGGAAAATGTTCCACCCCTCATATTCTCTCAAGCTTTCGAGGTAAACATTAAATAACCTTTCATCTAAAATTATTTCTAAAATCCCTTTTTTTGTAAATCTGATTTTAATTTCATCTATCATCTATGGATTTGAATCAAAGAGAAAAAATTAATGGACACTTAAAGCGTTTTCAATATTTTTTTTCCTTTAAATCTTCTGTGATCTCATTTACTGAAGCCGGATCCATTTTCATTAACTGGTAGGAGTGTAAAAAAATAATTTTCTAAGATGGAATTTCCAGAATCCCTCTTTTTTGAAGATATATTTTTAATTTCATGAAAGGGCGTTGAGATAAAGATTAAGGGTTAATAAAACCTTGTCGTTTTTTCAATAGTTATTTAAAAACTTGCATCTAAGTTATCATACACCAAGAAAGATAGACATATTTTTTTAGACAATACATCACTATTTAAACAATTTAACGAATACGTATGTTATAGTTGTTCACTGCGATTTTTTTACCATTGCATTTCTCATATATGTATTGTAAACAAAATGAAGGTAGTAGTGTAAAATCGATATTTCATTATGTAAATGTTGTTAAATTGTTATTTTTAAAATCCTATTAGGAATACGTCCTTTTCTACTACAAGCCAAAGTGTCGAGGTGGGATACCCTGGCCCTCGTGTAGAAAATACAAAAAAGTTTTAAACATTGTGTTTGATGGATTCAAGAAACCAGGCTTAATGTTACAAAACCAGGTTTTTATTCTCCAGTGCTTAGGATCGGGATCCGTGGATCTGCAACATTTTGCCTCCCTGGACCTGGATAAGGATCCGAAAAATATTTGGATATCCAGATTCCAGATCCAAGGGGAAAAATATTAGCCAAAACCTGTTCAAAAATCTTTTCCGTCTTAATAAACCCAAACCTTAACTGATAAATTATAAGAGATTATTAAGAACTTTTGACCTCTGAATGGTTCAACAAGGTTTAGCAGATTACTTTAAAAAACAGATTTAAAATCAGTAAAACTGAAAGAAATTTTAATGACCATTAAAATGAAATTGATCCTAAGCACTGTTTTATTCTCCAGTGTGTTGGTTTCTTCACTAACCAAGCAGGAAATGGAGGGATTTTTGCCATGAAGTTTTTTGACAAATTTTTTCGATATGGTTCTGTAGATAAAGTGTGAATTTGTATAAACCAATGAATTAAATGAGAACCTTTAGATAAAAAGGTGTTAATATTTTCATTAATTTAATATTTCATGAATTTTACAAATCATTTTTAAGAATTTTGTAAAGTTTTTTTTAAAAAGATTTATAGAAGGTTTTTATTTTAGAAGTGCTTGTTTACCAGAAATGTATACACATTGACAGTTAAATGTCCATATTTGTAAAAATTTCTAATCCTGACATTTTTGAGACAATTGTAAAAAATGTTAAAAGATCAGCTTGTTATGTTGGATGAATTTTTTTGCTTTCTTAAATCTATTTGTTAAATTCGTCCAATCGCTTAGAACATTTTCAAGTTCGAGGTTCAGAGCCAATGAAGAATGTATACATTTAAAGACGACAGCTTCAAAAAACGTGAATTGAGAACTACTTTTTAGCATATTCTTTCCAACTTCTTTTTCTAGAACTTTTTTAACTGATAGAATATATTTTCTTGTGCTTTCTACTGAGTTTGTGAAGAAAACTAACCTCTGGTGATGGTCTTGCAGTATATTTACTCCCTGGTGATAGGATTTGAGTGGGTTTTGCGGATTATTTAGGATTTGTATAAATAAAGGGATTTTTACCGAGAAAACAAAACTGCAACATTTTTAATTTAAAGTTAAATTTAAGGAAATTGACAAAAGTTTAATGTTAACTGATTTCCGGTATATTTTAAGGATTTTAATTTATTCTAAGCAAGAATTAAACCAAAAACAAAGTTGTGATTAAGAACGGACTGAAAACCCGGAGTTTGGGTCAGAATTAAACATCCTTAACCCCTACAAAGGATGCTTAAGCAATCCCTGTAAAGCATAATTTGTTTAATTATGCAAATATTCTAGATGTTTATTTATTAGATTTCTGTACCTGGCGGGGTTACAGATATAGTAACTATCAGAGATGAACTAATGATATCTACTAAGGACGGGCATATTCTGAGGTATACTTGATTATTCAAACTCTAACATATTTAATCTTGCTGCACTTAGTTTTTTTTTTGTCGGGATAGCCTTTTGTTCAAAGATAATTCTTTTTTTTTAAGAATCCTTTTGGTACTCTCGATATTTTATTTTAAAAATCTGTGATTTTACCCTGAATTAACGTTATATCTGTCTTCATATATACTTTGCTTGTCTGTCTGTCTGTTTGTTTGTTTGTATCTAATAATCAACCAAACGGCTGAACCGATCGGGCCCATATATTGTGTGGAACGTCACATAACCCCCTAAAAGATTTATGGAATGTTAGAATTAAAAAATAGCATCAAAAAATTTCGATTTTGCAAAAACCACGAAGAAAAAAATCAATAAATTCGCGACATTTTTTGGTTATTTTTCAATAATACAAGAAGAGAAAATGTCGCGGATATATGAAAAGTTAAAATTAAACAAACTAAAAAATCTTAAATATATTTCATCTATAAATTGTACTCATTTTGTCCTTTGCTAGTAATCGAAGATAAAACTTTTTAAGTCGTCAAGTATCATGTTGTGGTCTCCCACTGTAAAACTAACAATAAAATATAACTCGTGGAAGCTTTTCTTACATTTAAATTTGTTTAACCGTCTTATTTATCTAGGTATATGTGGGACGGACAATTAAACCGTGACTACTGCTTGGATCTGAGAAGAATTCCATTTTGTACTGATCAACAAGTTCTTAGGGGTGAGTACGCATGAACCATTTTTCAATCCTATCTTGTTTTATTTTATCTACAGGGTGTCACAAAAAAGGGAAAATAAATGTTTACAGACTCTTTCATAATCAGATTTTTAAGATTGAGAACAGTTTTTAATTTTATGTAAAATTTCCGATTCAATGAGCCGAATTTTTAGGCTTGTAGATCTAAAAATGAAACGTTCAAAAGTTCCTAAAGTTTCCATAAGGGGTCTAAAAACTTATTTGTAATCGGATTTTCAAGATTGAGACCATTTTTGATTCCGATTCAATTAACCCAAGTTTAGGCTTAGATTGTAAACGGAGATTATCTTTTACTTTTTACTCACTCCAATATTTGAAACTTTAGGACCCTGTAAAATTGTTAATTTTAGATCTACAAGCTCATTGAATCGGAAATTTTAAAAAAGTTTTTAAATTGGTCTTAATCTTGAAAATCCGTTTACAAACGATCTCTTAGACACTTATTCCCCCTTTTTACCCTATTTTTCTTTCTTTTTTATCATGTTTTTAAGTCTCGTGTAAAATAAATATAGATTCATAAAATTTTATTAAAAAATGGGTTGTTTCGATTATGGAAAAAATGACACGCGTTCTATAAATAAAATTTACATCTTAACCTTTTTAATCACACATTCACTCGGTATAAACCATAGGTTTAAAAAAGAAGTTATTTCTCATAATCTGCCAGGGCCAAGCATACAGGAATACAATATTTAAAGACTACAATGTTGACCTCGCTATTACAAAATAAGTTGAACAGAGCAACTTAATGTTGAGAGAGAGAGACTACAAGAATTATTTCGTCACCGGGAAATTCATCCTTAACCCGGCCATTACAGCGCGGTACAAATACAAATAATAAATTGACATGAAGAAAAAATCTTTTGTGCTTGTTTTGCGGTTTCCAGGCTTTTGGTTTTCGAACCTTGCTGTTAAATGTAACCTTCAATTTTCTCAAGAGCACTCTGAAGATTCGAGTTTCTGCAGAATTAAAGGTTTTTATCATTCAGATTTTTTATAATCACTGGGTGCATTCATCAGTACTTGATTAACACTGGTATTCACTCATTCATTCCTTGCCATTTTTACACCTATTATATATTAATCATTCACTCATTATTAATCACTGGTTCTGTATTCTTCTCTTTGAAAAATATTTCATTTTCAAGTTCCTTATAACTAAAGGTTTGGGTGTAGGGGGACATCCATAGGTCGGGTTGTCTGGTCTAAGCGTTGATAGGGAGTCTGGTGTGCCACTGGATTCTGGTAATCCGTAGGGTCGGGTGTTTGCGTGTCTGGTGTGTGTTCGTCTGATACCCGTATATCGTCTAGTTCTCCAATGAATGAATATGTAAAAAAGTTCTGAAATGAAAAAAGTTGAAACTTTCAAACAAAATTATTATTATTCTTTTGATTCTTTCAAATATTTATTTTAAAATTCCGCTGTTATTTTTTGTAAAGGGATTGACAAGGTAAAATATTGTAACCCTACATTTGAAAGAGTTCTTAAAGGTGCCTTAAAACTTAAAACGGAGTTATTCAGCAGATACAAAGATGAAAATGTGACGAATTTATCTCTTTTTAAAATATTTAAGCGATAATGGAATATGTAACTCGTAATATAGTGTGTGACGAAAAACTACGTCGATAATCCCTTTATTTTCAAAGTTTTACCTCAAGTTTAATTCTGTTTAGAGGACCCCTCCCCGTAGTTGTTTTGTCGCATTGATCAGCTGTTCTGCTGTCTCAACCATATTCATTCATTGTTCACTTCTGGAAAAGAAAAGTATTAATATCGGATGATATATAAGTCTGTTAGATCATTAGGACTTGAAGTCACTGATTCTGATGAACACTAAAATCAAATGTGGGGAGCTCCAGAGGGGCGAGTGGGGGCAGTTCTTGGGACTCGTATACAGGTTCATAGGTCGGGATTTCTCCAACCTTCTCCTGTACTAGAATAGAGATCGGAGCATCTACAACAGATCTTAAACTCTTCTCCCGCTCTAGGTCTTGAATACGGTTCTTAAGCTCTGCATTTTCACTCCTGGGGGATGGGAGGATCAATTTAAGGAAAAATAGTGTTTTGCTTTAATTGATTTAGTAAAATAAAGAAACTGATTACTTTCCTCAAACTCAAATTACACAATTCATATAACCCTCAGAATTTGTAAACCTTTGATATTCCAAATGATTTCTCAACAAGGAGAAATAATACTTTAAATATAGAAGATCTACGACATTAGGGTTTACTACAGACCAAATTAGAGTTTGAGGCAAGTAATCATATTCCCGGTTTTTTGTAAAAAAAAATGTTTTTAAATTGATCATTTTCCTGCAAGTTTCCAGTTCGGAGAACATAGTTTCCACCATGTTTCTAAGATGATTGTTCGCGGTCTGCAACTCTTCTATTATTACTTTATCATCCTAGAGAAATATAGGAATATATTCCTAGAGAAATATAGGAATATATTATTCAATCCTACAGTTACAGGGATAATCAGATTAGGCTTAGTCTAATATTCTACCTTGCAACATAAATATGTTGTATTTAGATATATTTAGAACAGGATGAGGAGGGTGAGATGTAAGCCTACCTTTGGCATTTTAGCTCCAGCTGGTGAAGTTTTTCCTTCTTCCTCCTCTCCAGTTCCTTGTCTTAAGTGTGCTAGCAGAGATTCTGTCTCTTCGAAGGCTCTATAGATGGAACCCTGAAAATGAACTAGGCTATAATTCAACATTTTTCAGATAACTGAACATTTTAAGATTAGGACCGAGTTATTTATTGTTTGAGATAAGCATTGAAGAAAATTTAATCAAACTGTTGTTTTGTATTGTTATGTTTTCAGGGGGAGGGGAGGGGGGGTTGAACCAAACCTGAAGTGCATCTGCCTCCTGCAAAGTGGCCTTCTGCATCCTCCTCTGTAAGTTCTCTAGGTTCTTGGTGTACTTGCTGTAATTGATCTCCTTGATCTTGATGATCTGCTGCTGCTTGATGTGGAACTCTATCTGCAGGTTGATCGACTCAGCGATCTTGTTATCCTTACACTCTTCTAGAGCAAGCCTTAAAAACACAATTCTCAGTTAAAATATCGCTTTAAACACATCAAAAAATTCTCATACCTGAGTAGCTTAACAACCTCCTTTTCGGTTTGTATTGCTTGAGAATGTTTCCCCTGGTTGATCTGTCTCTCCGAAACCCGAACTAGTTTATGAGCAGAGTTTAGGTTAGTTTTCAGCTCCATTACATATTTAGTCCTGCAATACCAAAATTACTTGTTTTTACTACGCAGTTTTACACAGGATGAAAAACTGGATTTTTAATGTTAGATTCAATGAGAAAGAATCGACTTAGGAAAGAATACGCCACGTTATTTAGTTTTGCCAATATTAAATATTTATTGTGCAAGATATTAAAACGTGATTAATTCTGAAGATCCATTTATTCCTCCCACCCCGTGTATGGGACTTCACTGAGGGGAGTAACGACTGACACTGGGTGGTGTGGTGGGTGAGTACTGAGTGTGACTAGACTGGATCGCCATCGGACTCGGAGCATAGAGAAACGGTACAATAGAATAAACTAATATTGAAAGGTAGTGTTCACGATAACAGTTTTTATATTATTTTTAACTTATCATGCGCCAGAAATACGATAGTTCCAATCGCTTCACAATTTCACTATGTATCATTTCAACCCTCTAAAGTAACATTAAAAGTATGTTTCCGCATAATAATGCATAGTGAATAGTTGATTCGGTGATGCACTTTGTTCAGCCACAAATCATAAATATTTAAAAAAATGACTTACATGTGCCTGACCTAAAAATGCATTAAAACTAATTTATCTCAAATTCAAACATTTTGGTTTTATTTTCCGTTATTTAAATAAATAAAAATTCCTGAACAATTTTTTATTCATACTTTAAAAATAGTTTCTACATATTATTGTACTTTAATTAGCTTTGCGTACATAAACATAATAGTACACGCTTGCAGTGTACAGTGTGTATAGTGTACAGTGTACACCTGTTGTTGGATTTACAGTTATTAAGATATTCACTGTAGGACTATGATGCACTGACCTCCCGGAGTATTGATCTAAATGTAACCTTGCAACCTTGACATATTTTCTCTCAGGGTTCAACGGAGTCCATTTCTAAAGTGAGGGGCGGGGGGGGGGGGGTTGTCCTTAAAATCAATATTTTCAACATTCGAATTAAATTCTTATTTTTTATTTATACCTAATTTATTTTTCGTAAACTTTTCCATTTCTTTCTCAGTAGTTTGTGAGAAAAGGAAGAGATTTTAGAAGTTAAGAAGAGTTTTGCAATCAACCTCATAGGTTTAAACAGATATATATTAAGCGAATGTTCATTATTAAATTCTCTGTTATTTGATTTGTTTGTTTGTTTCTAATAAACGTTGAAACGTCTGAACTGATCAGGAAAAACGTTTAGAACCTTATATGACCCCAAGGAAGGTTTATGTCCTGTAGAAACTAGAAGAATTGCATCGAAAAATTTGGATTTTTAAAAAATGGGCAAAGGTAAGATCTAAAAATAAGTTTTCGTAGGTTCATAATGTATTTTATCAATATTTTATCAAGTAAAAGTAATGTAAACTCTTGAAGCAAAAATTTAGGATATCATATCATATATTGATACTAGGTCATCTTCTTGAACGCGGATACGAAAGTGAATTTGAAGGGTTTAGCAAATTCTTGACGCGAGAATCGAAATTGAAAGTGATTTGAGAGGTTATTTGTTCACGTGAGATAGAAAGTGAATTTAAAGGGTTAAACAGAGTTATAGAGTAGGTCAGTTGGAAAGCTCTATAGATAATCTCTCTCTCTCTTAATCCCCCCCCCATTCAATAAGGTCTTGTTATGTTAGGACTAAATATTTATACATCGTGTTTTCGTGGTTAATTTCTTTTCATATCCCAGTATTTGAATAAGCACATTGTGAATTATTATGTGTATTATTTTGTGGTTTTGATAATTTATGAAAAAAAATTAGCTTTGCGTTTAAAGATGGTCCAGGATATAAGTTATTGGTATTTTTTCAATTATTCGGAGATTTCGGTTCACGATAATTTCTGAAAATTTTGATATTTTTACCAGATCAGAGAATAGACAAGAAACAAAGCTTTTGGTGCACTGCATACTGCACTGATTTTTAGTACTTTGAATGAAGAAAAAATTGGGTTTAGTGGAAAGTGTGTTGTGTCTAATAGATTTTAAAAAATCTAAATTCAAAGTTAAAGTACCAGTTTGTATTTCAACCTGGATAAAATTTCTAAACCTGGATTTTAAGGTTTGAAACTAACTGCAACAGTTTACCCCCCCCCCCCCTCTTGAGACTTGATTCTATTGTTAGGTTGCAAGTATGGCTGGATAATTATAATGCAACTGCAGCTGGGTTCATCGTACTGTGTGCAGTTAGAACTGCAGCTTTGGGTTCAATGTTTCCTACCGACCTTGAGATTCATTACTTTCCCCTTATAGAACATGGGTTCATTGCACTTAGTAGGGGGTAGGGGGTGGAGGGGGGGGGTCGGAGGCTGCTCACCGGAGGGTGAGAATAAGGGGAGGGGATATAATTCCAAGGAAAGATTAGCAGGAGAGAGGAGGGGATGGTATTTGTAGGGTATCTTTATTCAAGAAGTGTATGTGTGCCATAGATTAATAACAATTTAGATATAACACTAGATGTCGTTTTTCAAGATTTTGGGGGTTTTTCCTTTACAATTACCCTAAGGTAGAAGCCCAAAGGAGTTACGCGCAGGCCGCGTTGAATTACAAGATAGCTAGAGACCCCGTTGTAACTCCTTTGGGCTTCTACCTCAGGGTTATTGTAAACTAAAAATCCTTAAATCTTGAAAAGACGACATCTAGTGTTCTATCTGTATTGTTATTAATCTTTGATGTGTGTAATCAAGGGTTTGATCCGGAGGCCAAGAAATATAATTACAGTTAAATATATAGATCTATTTATATAAAATATTCATGCAAGAAATATGATTGATATTTAACAATTATAATCGCAAAACTTGCATAAAACAATCGATTTTTGTGTTTTTCGAAATTCTTTTAAGATCACTTTCACAACAATGTTTTGATCGATTTCTTAATAATCGAAATTCTACAAAAGAATTCGCGACTGTTTTTAAATTTGTTTATAAAAATATAAAAATAGACGAATTTTAATATATTTGAATAACTACTTCAAGAATCAAAATTATGTTTCATTTATTAAAGTATGAATAGATCTGATCGAATAGTAAAAATGATAAATAAATTGGCTGAAACGGGATTTTAAACTTGTACTTTGATTTAGAAAATACTTAAAAATATTACTATACGATCGTCATAACGATGTGCCTGTTATAGATGAGCAATAAATCTGAAAAAACAAATAATAAGAAAGATAAATATAGTGACCGAACTTGTACTTTGACTGAGGAATACTATCTCAACCTTGTTTCAGAATATGTCCAATAAAAGTGTATTTCCTCCCCCTCCCTGACTCCCCTGACATCTGCCACACCAGCATATAAATACCTCTATTCAGACCTGGGTATTTATCAACAGGATCAGGGGCGTTTAGCGGGGTGGCGGGCATGTGTTTAAGTGAAATTTATTATTTTGAGCGTGGGGGTCATTCCCCAATGATGCCCCTCCTAAGTAAAAACAAATCTTTGAGCCCCCAACCCCCATTTTTTCTTAGGCCCTTCCCTGAATAGGATGCAGATTATAGAGAGATCTTACAGGCGTTCAGATATTGCCTATTTAACACCTCAGAGGGGGAGGGAGGGAGGGGGATAAATGTTGGATTTTTAATGGTGAATCTTTTCCATTTAAAGGTATTATCATATTCTTTAAATTTCTAAAATACTAAATGCATGTTGGCCTGAAGTATATTTTATTCCGTTCAATGAACATGAAACACAGCTATCGTGCAGTGTACACAGACCTATTTTACTTAATAAGTTGATTTTACAGGCTACTGGTAAAACTATTTACTTTTCAACGTCATCAAATATTAATAAAATAGCTTAAATGTCGTCTTTTTCACTGAATGTTCTCCCCGAACTTTAACGTTTATTTTCCTTTCAACGTCATCAAATACTTATAAAATAGCTTAAATGTCGTCTTCATATTCCAAAGCTTTACGGGTTTTGCTGAATGTTCTCCCCGAACTTTAACGTTTATTTTCCTTTCAACGTCATCAAATACTTATAAAATAGCTTAAATGTCGTCTTCATATTCCAAAGCTTTACGGGTTTTGCTGAATGTTCTCCCCAAACTTTAACGTTTGCATCTAAAAACTTGACACTCAACACTCAAGATACACAATGTCTTTCATGCAATTTTGAATTTTCCATTTTTTTCAACTGTAGGCCAAAATATGTGTACAAATATTTGGGGGGAAAAATTCGTTTGTGTGTTTGTGGGGGGGGGGGTAACATTTATATCTGATCATGGTATTCATGATTATTCATAACATACGACTTCTGGATAAAGCTTACTATTCAAAAGATATGCCTATCCTATCATTATCAGTGATATTAATTATGTATATTTCTACAAAATGGTACTAGTAATGGAAGTGTTCAGGGAGTTGATAACATGCATACAACATGTGCCCCGGAAAGAGAGTCTTCGTCACAAACTCGAATTTTCTCATCCCTTTGTCTTTGCAATCAGATGGTGTAAACCTTTGTACATCTTTTTATCTAACAGAATTCCTAGTTTGAAATCTGTAAGGTCTGCGACGTTAGGGTGCAAAGATATAATATGACTAGAAAATCAGAGTTTATGGCAAACACTTAATTACTTTATTACTTCAAAAATGTTGAGGACTAGGATGGCCCAATCAAAGAATGCTTCTATGAGGTGGATTTAATCCGCAAACCTCTTATTTTCGCTAAATAAAACTAAAACTTAATGACTCAATGAACATCATTTGAATTAAGTATCACTGGTCAAGGTTGTAAAAAGCTGATAACTTTATAATCTAACCTTTCTCCGTTAATAACTAATTTCATTGCAAGGGCAACTTTTGAAACCATTGTAAGATGAACTTCAGTTAAGTGCGGACTATGGATTAACTTTCTCATCGCATTTTTTTAAAGGGAGTGACCGGCTATGTAAGGTAGTTGAACTGAGTATGCAGTGTTGTGGAAAACTTATTTCGGATTCATTTGAGACATATTAAACTTTCTAAAGATCTGTAAATCCTGATTTTGAGCGCAAATTTGACATTTAAAACTCCCACTGGTGGGGGTGGACATACTTAGTTCAACTACCTTACAAAGCCGGTCACTCCCTTTAAAATCTATTTTTACATTTTTCCATCTTTTTTGTGTAATTATCTAAATGTCAAAGTAAAATTATATTTTGAACGAACTTCCACTTAAAATATTTGATAATCTGAATTTTTAGCTGTTCCTCTGGTGGACCAGGGTTATGTAACCCATCTCTCCTATTCTCCTCTCCTAGGAGGGTTCACCATAGTTCTCAGTGATGGTAGAGCTGCATTCCTCGTCGCAGCAACTCTCAAGTTCGATCCAAACTCAGTTCAGGTTAGTTATTGAGCTTGAGATGATTCTTTGCCGTTTCTTTCCAATTAGTCATTTCTCTTTCAGAATTTTATGCCAAACGTATCAAGTTAAAGAATTTTGATAAAATGTTAAATCTTTCTTACCAAATTACCAAACTCAGTACAGGTTGGTCTTATAAAACTTTCACATTTTTCGTTCGTTTTTTTATACCAAATCTATTAAGTTAAAGATTTTTTAAAATTTTATCTCTTTCTAATCAAATATTTATAATATTGTATCTTTATTTTCAATTTTATGACCAAGTTGTATTGAACATAATTGAATTTGATGAATTTGATCTAGATGGCTGAACTACCAACCGCCACGCTGGTTCAAATCTTGAATCATGACTTATTATATAAGAAGACTCGTAAGATTTTATGACGATTTGAATCGGTGATTCAGGATGTGACCCGGCAGTAGATAGTTCACCGACCTCTCCAATTTATTAAATTCGGTCCCCGGATTATTTCTACTAAATTCGAGATATCTTTAATTTTTTAATCAATATAATGCATTAATGATATCAGGGTATCTGGGCTGGTGGAGTTGAGGATATCACCTGCACCGCCTCCAACCACAAGTTCAGGTTGATGGGGTTCGGTCGGAAGAATTCTCAGGGTATAGTATACTCTATAGATGAAACTACTGGAGGATTATCCGTCTCTCATAAACTTATTCTTCCAACCAAAGATTATCCAGGATGTCCTGGTCCAGTTACTGGGCTTAGGTTAGTCTCTTATAACCTCTTCTACAATAAATAAAAAGTGTGTTTTTTACCGTCTTTTCCTCATATATTATACATTATTTTTATTATTTATTGACCGTCAAAGTTAAATCATTTTGCCTGATTTAACTGCGCCATTAAAATAGTTGAAACCGCCAAATTTGAGAATATTTTTTAAATGGCCACTTCCGAGTTAAGTGAAAAGCTAACATTGTCGCGACGTGCAAGCTTAGGATTTATTTATTGTTGAATTTTTTAAACTTATGTAATAAAGCTGATGAGATGAAGAATTTTTACTATACCGTCTATTTATTTATTTGGATTGTCTGTTTGTTGGTAAATGTTGGTTTGTATCCAATAGACTTCAAAACGGCTGAACCTGAACTGGGGGGGCCCAAACATTTTTGAGACCTTTTTGACCCTAGAGAAAGTTTTTTTATGGTCTGAATTACGTGTGTTGCCTTAAAAGATTTCAAAGAAAATTAAAAACGTACTACCCATAAGGCAAACTGAGACACATTTTTGGGATAAAAATTAAATTAAAAAAAATATATTTTATCTATTTTCTGATCCTTTGCATAGATGGACCCCGGACAGTATGTGTTTGGCTATGGTGTGGGCTGGGGGCGGTTTCTCTATTTGGTCCACCTTTGGAACTATGATACTTTGTAGCCTAGGTTGGGACCATAGTGCTTCTATTACAGATCCTATGAAACAGGTGAGTTTGTGATAAATGTTAATCACAAAAACAAATATCAAAAACTTAAGATAAAAAATATATTTTCTAAAGAATTTGAAGATAATGAAAATGGGTCAACTCAAATTGAAATATATATATATATATATTTTAATGTGGAAATAACATCTGCTGTGTTTACTTTATTTTGGTTTGAGCCTACATCCACACCAAATTTCAAAGAAATTAAAATATTTAACTAAATTAATCCATCCCCACCCTCACTGCTAATTTACAGATACGTTCAGTGTTAGAATGTCGAACCTAGAAAAAACCAAGTGCTTATCAAGTCTTGCAGATTTTATCTTGTGTCTAGAAAAATGTCTGTTCATTTTATAATTTGATAACGTATATATTTATATAATTCTATGTTAAGGCTCCGTACAATATAATTGACATGGACTGGGCGGGAGAAGGATATCAACTCTGGGCGATAAACTCGGCGGAGAGGAAGTTTACGGGGAACCAAGATGCGGAGTTCTGTCCGTTCCCAAAGGTACCTGGAGTAAACTAGACTAGTCTGCACATATAATGTTTTTTATCCAGATATGTACAAGTCTAGAACAGGTGGTAGAAAGTTGATTTAAAAATATACAATACCGAAATTTGGGAATTTTCATGAAGTAGACCAAGATGGTTATAAAATTTATGAACATAAAAGGTTTAAAGATTATTCTGGTAATTTATGGTCTTCTTTTAATACATATTTTTTTAGTATTTTAATACATATTTTTATTATTTTTGACTCATTTATTTAAAGGAAGGAGAAGAGCAGCCTGACGAACCATCCTTAATGGGGAATAATGTTCTAATTATTCCGTTTGTAAAGAGTCCTCTCTCAGTCAACCCTGCAATGAGTGCTCTGGATAAACTATATCTTCAAGGTATTCTTGTAGAAAACTGAATTTACTCTTTATTGTCTTTTTTGTTTCTTTTTGCGTGGACGATTTATTACTATGAAAACTTTAAAAACATTCTTGATTTTTCTTGAAGAATTAATTTGAAATTTTTAAACGCAAAATCATTTTTTTATTTTATTGTTCTTCTTTTGGATTTGAACTATGAAATCTATATTAAATATAAAGTAGTAATCTCTGTTTGTTTGTATGACTGATCATAAGTCATGAACCCCTAGGCCGATTTTCTTCAAATATTGATTTGGTAACTCGGGAGAACCACGGGAATGTTATTAGCTTGGTTATGAGATTCTACGTTGAGTTGGTTGACTTTTAAAGGGAAAAATAGCTGTAAACATAATTTTTGACCAAGTGTGAGTAAACGAAGGGATTAATATGCGTAACCTAGCCACCGCCGGGTTCCCTAGCTAGCACGGAATAAAATCGGAGGCGTCCACTGCCCAGACCACCAGCGGGACTGCCAGATTTTTTTTTCATAATCTCACAGAAAATCCCATTTATTTACACAACTTTTTTTGAGGGGGGGGGGGTCCACGAATGAATGGTCAAGATGTTCAGCTCTAAACTAAACATATATTTTTCAGGAGAAGATCGGTTATATCTCAACTCTACGGAGAATGTTAGCTCAATCCCACTAACTAAAGCTGAGACGGCGGAGCTAAAGAGTTCTACATCTGCCAATCCTCAATCCTCTGCTAGTAAACAGTGGACTGTAGTTATCATTCCTCATACCTATATCAGCTCAAGCTGGCCAATAAGGTTAGCCTATTAGTGGCCATTTTTTTCCAAAAAATATTGAGGAAGCCAAATCATTTTTTAAAATTAATTTACCCTTCTATCTTCTGTTATTGTTTAATTTAAGTTACTTCTTGAATATATCTTTTTTAATAGTTTATTTTTAATTAAAATTTTTTTAACAACATTTAAAAAACAGCAGTGCATTTTTCTCAGGTTTGTAACTTTTGGAATAAATAATTTTGCAAAAATGTGAATCTTTTAAACCGAGTCAGAAACAGTTCCTAGCATTGAAACTAGTAATATTATATTTCTTTGAGAGAAAATTTCATGTTGTTCTAAGTTTCACAATGCTTTGGTTTTATCTCCACTTTTTTTAAAATCTTATCAAGGAAGAATATGTGGGGCTGTTATGATATTTTACACTTGTTTCTTAATAACTTTTTTAATAACTACATACAATATATATATATATAAAGTTGTAATCTCTGTTTGTTTCTTTATTTGTTTGTTTTGGTGTTTGTTTGTATTGATTGAATTGCCTCAAATCGTGACTGGGGAATCTGGGAGAACTACGGGAATGTTCTTAGCTTAGTTTAGAGAGTCTTAAGTTGAGTGGATCGACTTAAATGGCAAAAGTTTAGTTTCCCGGTAAAATCGTCACATTGCATTTTAATGGCGGCGGGAGTAACGAGAGTAACCTGGGTAAACGCTGGGTTCCCAAGCTAGTCCATTAAAATGTTTCCCCGTTATTACAGGTATACCGCTATGGATGACACTGGAACTTATATAGCTGTGGCTGGTCGAACTGGTCTAGTTCATTATTCAACTTCAACAAGGTAGGATTGTCAATAATTGTCAAGTTTTTTGAGCTCCAGGAAAGAATACAATTTAATACACTATTTCTTGTGTTTACGAAAAAATTGACGAATTTTGAACATCGATCAATCAATTGTGGTTTCTCTTCAAAGTGACTTGCGCATTTCTGCATCTTGGAAGAAAATTGTCAGAATTGAATACTTAAACGACAATATCCTACACATTATTGAGAAGATAAAGGTGTAAAGAATACCGTGGAGATTCAAACAAGCCTGTCTTTAAATGGAGTGTTCGCGAAAAATTAAAGAGGGTATAGGCTTACTGCGAAAAATAAGAGCTTTTGATTGCTACTAATCGTAATTCTATCTGTTGCGTCTATCAGGAGATAATTGTTAAAAACTGAAATTTATTTACAATCATGGAAAATATGAAAATGTCGTCTTCATTATCAAAAATCCTCGAAACAGGAATAAATGTTTTAATAGTAACTCTCAGCTCATGAAAAATAAAAAAATACTATGAAATATCAACTTCATACGAATGCGTCGAAAAATAATCGATGACTATTGTTTGTAATATCTGAATGATTTGTTTGGAATTAAATTGATTCGTTTATGATCCGAGTTGAATGGATGCTACGTTCTTCGGTATAATTCGCTTTTAAAAAATTTCTCCTTATAGACACAACAGATAGAAGTAAGATTAGTAGCAATCAAAACATATACCCTTTTCATTTTTCGCGAACACTCCCTTTAAATGGAAAGTATAACAAGAGTATCATTAATGTTGAAGTACACTAAAATATTTAATGTGTAGGAAATGGAAAATGTTTGGGAATGAAACCCAGGAGAAGGAGTTTGTTGTAACCGGTGGTTTACTCTGGTGGAAGGATTTTCTGGTTATAGGATGCTATAATCTAACTAGTAATAGGTATGATCAACATAAAGACATTTACCGCAAACCTCAATACAAATAGAGGAACATAGATAGATATAGCTTTACGTAATTTTGTCAATGTACATGAATCAAAATTGAATATTTAATTACCATCTACCATGCATTGAAACTCAAAATGAATGATTTTCAGGGGGAAAATAAATAAAGTTTTGGGTAAAAAGGATGAAAAAGGATGAAAAAGGATGAAAAAGGATGAAAAAGGATGAAAAAGGATGAAAAAGGATGAATGAAAAAGGATGAAAAAGAAGGATGAAAAAGGATGAAAAAGGATGCTAAAAGGATGAAAAAGGATGAAAAAGGATGAAAAAGGATGAAAAAGGATGAAAAAGGATGCTAAAAGATGGAAAAGGATGAAAAGGGATTAAGAAGGATGAAAAAGGATGTACAAAATTGTCAATTCATGGCCAATTTTTAATTTTTCCCCCAGATCTTCAAAATTATACACCCCTGTTGAAGCTGTTCATAAGAAACGATTGTGTAAATCATGAATAAACAAATCTGATTAATTTTTTGGACAAAACCATTGTGTTTTGATTGCTGATATTTTGCTAAATACAGATTAAGTTGATAGTCCCTTATCTATATATACAAAGTTGTAATCTCTCTTTGTCTGTTGGCGTTTGTTTGTTTGTTTGTTTTGGTGTTTGTTTGTTTGTTTGTTTGTTTGTTTGTTTGTTTGTCTGTTCTTAGCTTAGTTCTAGGTTCTAAGGGGTCAACTTTTTACGGGGAAAATTGCTAAAATCTTAATTTATGACTAAGGGCGGGACTGACTATGACTCCCTTGGGCAACGCTCGGCTACCAAGCAACTAGAATATAAAACTGTTTAGAGACGAAGTGCGGATTTATCCTCGTGAAGCGAGGCTAGACAATTCATATTCATCCGTGGAGGTCGTGGAGGCTCAAGTCCTTCTCATTAATAAATTAGAGGACAGGTAATTATATATATATTCTTATGGTGATTGTCGTCTGTATTTTAAATTTGTCTCAATAAATATGATCATTGTCGTTTTTATTACTGCCTCGTTGCTTTTAACCTAACCCAATTTTTGAATCTGAACTGTGGGATCAAATGGATCCAGAATTTGCAACAAAAATCTTGATTTTTCTCATTTGGACCCATTTTTCCAAGTTAATACGAATAAAAAAAGAAACGGGAAAAATATTTAATCATAAAGAAGATTTTACACTTTAATTCTTTGTTGATGAACATTTCCTAGTTTTTAGTACCTGATTCGGGTTATTTATTGATTTGCGAATTTAAAAGACCACAATCTTCAAATCTATCTAATCATAAATATTTTTATTTTTTAGGTTGATAGTTTACTGCTCCAACAGTCATATATCTCTTTATGATATCTACACAGAAGTTGGGAACCCACGTAAGTTATAACTAATCACTTCTAAAGATTCGACTAATAAAATGAGTACTCGTAGAAAGGGGGTAAATGACAAGCTCAAATCCAATCCGGGTGCGCTCAGTATGGTCATATCTAATGTTTCTAAGAAGCCAACTGAGAATTTGACTAGAACTCAAGATATCTAGAATTTGGAATGAAGAATTTAAATACAAGTTTAACAGAAATTTTCTCAAATCTAAAATGTTTCCTGGCTACTTCAACATTTTGATATTTTTACTAATCCACGATTTACTTTTTGCTTTTTGTCTCTGCTTTATATTAGAACCAAATACAACATGTGTGCGTAGTATCCATAACATTTGGATCCGGATCCAGGAGCCAAAATATTGCGGCTTTTGCGGATCAGGAATCATGAAGCTAAAACATTGTGATTGAGCAACGGTTTTATCGGTTCCGGCTCCTGGAGCCAAAATATTGCGGGTTAAAGCGGAACCGGATCCTAAGCACTGTCTGAAATAATCGTGGCGGAAGGGCGGATAAATGGATTCTCCGCCATGGTTGATGATAGTTAAATGTTTAGCTGTATCCCGACTGTCCAGGGCTAGCCTGGAAGACGACCCTCCCTGGAATGGTATAACAGTGTTTTTAGGCTTTCATGTGCTTATTGGCTTGTTGGCGTTACCTGCACTTGGTGTTTGTTTTCAGCACTTGCTTTGTTTAAACTGATTACTGGTTACATGCTTGGATGCCACTATTGGGTGGTTATGGTTAAATTTTGTTAATCTGGAATTTATTACTTACAGCATATAATCGTTTAAATGGCACATTTTTTGCTAAAAGAACAAATCGGGGTTTTTGACAAATTTTATTCACTCAATTCACACATTTCTGATCGGGGTTCTTATGTAACAAATGTCCATTGCATTAGATTGGGATTGAATTCTCTTCCTTTTCTTTAAAAGCAAACACGCGAAAGTGTTAGTGTGAATTTTGGTTATGTAGTGTATTGTTCTTAAACTAAACTAAACTGTACTGTACTGTACTGTACTGTATTTTAGTTTTCGAGTGAAAGGTTTAAAGATGCCAATAAAAATTGGTTTTATTTACGAATTTATTGTTTAGTTCAATGTAAACTGCGTAAAGTACAAGATGTTGACGCAAGCCTACTCTCCATCCATCCTGCTTGCGTAGTTTCAGTGTCTCTTTCACATCTTAAAACGGAATCAGTGCGTCAGAGAAAGGTGGAAATATACATTTGAAATAAAATGAACACCACTTAATTTTTATTGCTCACAAGCTTTTTCGAAGTACAGTTTACAAGTAACCAAAGAGAAGCTTTTATAATCGACAGCTTCTCTTTGTTTCCATTTTATGTGTATCCATTCTATTTAAAGCTGGATGTAAATCAAAATTGAAATCGAAAGTCGTATTCATTGTATTAAAATAATCGCCTATCATTGTTCATAATTCGTGAGTTAACAATTCAGTTTGAAATTAGGGCTGAATTTGTTTCTTTTAAATGATAAAAAAGAAGCAATTTGGCGTGTTAGGGAGAGCGTTTTTATTTCTTCTAGTGAAATATTTCAACCTCCCAAAATTTATTTTATCCTTGATGAACTAATTCCTGTTAAAGGAGAGTGAACGTGAGTCTGTAGAACGTGAGCTACGGAATGATACCGCCAGTTTGATCCTGAATGTAAGTGGTAAGGTAGTTCTGGTTCAGAGAGAGAGAACAAATACAGACGAACTCCTTTACTCAGCACCAACTGTACTGGCCGGTCAATGTGAGCAGGTGAGGCAGATAAAGGAAGGAATTTTACAGAATTTTTGGTTTAGAACGTTTCTTGTATTTTAGTTTCCAAAACATATCAAATATTACTTGCACGAACCTTTAATGCATTTATTTTTTAACATAATAAGACATTCGCCAAATTAAAAGAAATTAAAAGAAATGAACCAAGTGTGTAGATTCTAGAACGAAGGAGGAGAAATTTGTATTTGAGTGCAATATACAAGAACTATTCAGATACTGGTTTATTTTGAACAGCAAGGTTGACAGGCCTGTCCTAACTACCCTAGGTCTAGGAAATTTTCTACCTTTATTATTGTTTTGATACCCCCCCCCCCCCCCCAAAAAAAAAAAAAAAAAAAAAAAAAAAAAATTAGTTTGCCCGTATAGGTTTAGATGTTCATATTTTGATCAGGTTTGGTTGCCACGAAGATCTTGCAGTACTAAACCTCATCTCACGTTATCTCTCTGGTTGTACTGCGGTGCTGCTGGGATGAAAGTCTGGCTTCCACTCTTCCCTAAGGTTGGATACTAAAGATTTAATCGTTTTAGAGGGGGCAATAAAAAATCATTGATTTTGATACTAGAGTTTTCTTGATTATCCTTCTTTACTTACAGGAAGGTGAAAGTCAGCACTCCTTTATGGCTAAGCGTATAATGCTTCACTTTCCTCTAGAGAACATATACCCGCTCTCCATACACTTCGAGGAGGCCATCATTGTTGGAGTGGAGAACGATTGCCAGCTATACCCTGGGAACCCTAGCGGGCCCTCCATCCTACCCTTCACTACCCTGGAGAGAGTGAGTCAAGTGTTTCTTCAACAACTCCTTCGTCAGCTCATCCGTCGGAACCTTGGACATCATGCTTGGGAGATAGCTAGGAGCTGTATAACCTTGCCCTACTTCCAGCATAGTCTGGAGCTGCTTCTACACTCCGTCCTGGAGGAGGAAGCTACAAGTAAAGAACCTATTCCCGACGCTCTCCTACCCTCTGTTGTTGATTTCATCCGTTCCTTTCCCGTCTACAGAGAGACAGTTGTTAGATGTACAAGGAAGACAGAGGTTGCTCTCTGGCCTTATTTGTTTGCTGCTGTTGGGTCAGCTAAGGAGCTTTTTATTGAATGTTTGGAGAAGAAAGAGCTGCATACAGCTGCTTCATACCTGATCATTCTTCAGTCTCTTGAACCTGCATCAGCTGCAAAGCAGCATGCAACCCTTCTCCTCGACGCTGCTCTGGATAATGGAGCTTGGGATCTTGCCAAAGACTTAGTTCGTTTTCTCCGTGCTATTGATCCGGACGAATGTGATGAGATTTCTTCTCCGAGAGCAACTTCAGTACTGCCGTCCTTCCCGTCTCCTCTGTCTCCGGCCCAGGCAGGAGAAGAGGATTTATCCCTGGTGCTTGGAACCCTGGTGGTTCCAAGATCAAGATCTATCTCTACGAATGCTCCGCCTAAAACCTCTCCACCCGAACATCAATCATTATCTAGGTAGAGCCTATATCTTATCATTGAGTAACTTCAAAAAGTGATAATTTTAATATAAAAAAGTTCTGTGTCTGTTATTTATGTTTTTATCTGGCGTAATTTATAGTGCCAGAAACAGTAAAATGATATCGTAATTATTTAGACTGTTGGACTGTGTCCCCGGCGCCCCACCTTTTATCAATGATTTAAAATGATGATATTTTGGTTTGTTTTTTAGCATATTTCGCGCCAATCTGATCCGGATCCTGAAAGCAAAAATGTTGCGAATCCAACGGATCCGGTTCCAAAGCACTGCCATTTGTCGAGGTACTTACAATGTGCATGTTTATGTCATTATTATTATCCAGGTCTATGAGTGAGAAGCAACCTCGATTACGAAAGATCTCCTCCTCTTCAAGTCCTAACACGAGCAGGGATGGAGCTAACGGCACAGCGGAGGAGTTCTTCATCGATATGATCCTGGCCAGGCACGCCAGGAAGCTCCTTATGTCCGGGAATCTGGTGGATTTAGGAAAATTTTCTGTTCATCTCGACTTTTATCTGGTCTCTTGGCTAAGGTAAATATTTTTTTACTGGTTCGTTTATAAGGTACCACACCAATACTGAACTTGTGAAGGACATTTCAAAACTTATAAATGTGAGAGTTTGCTTTTATTGCTTTTATTAAACTTATCCTGAGAGAAAACATAACGATCATTTGTTTTTGTTCTCTCACTCAGGGTCAGAATTTTGAAAAGTGCAAGGAAAGCCAAACAGTTTAGATTTTTTTAATTCTTAGATTTTTGTCGAACCATCGTCCCCTCATTTTTTCCTTAACGGCGTCAATGAGGAAATCTCATAAAATGATTATGAAAATTATGTAGATTGAATATTGAATATTTAAGTAAGAGTGAATTCTTACTGATAAACTCACTAAACAGGCGGGAATCCAGTCGAGCAGCACTATTGGAGGATTTTGTCTGGGCACTCAGAAGAATCCATTCAGATTTCAGCTGGCCCTGGCCCACAGGTAGAATAGAATAGACATGATGGGGCCTTAATTTCTTCGGAATAAAACTTAAATTTTTTCCACTATAAAATCGTTTTTTTCCACTGTAAAATCGTTTTTTTTTTTTCACTATAAAATCTTTTTTTTCCACTATAAAATCGTTTTTCCCCATTTCAGAGAATAAAACACTTTAAAAATTTTTTTTGGCGCTTCGTTAAACTTAACTAACTTCAAGGGGGAGGGGGGGGGGGTATTTTTCAAAAGGGGGAATGATTTTAAGAAAATATATATAACTATATATCCATATAAAGATTATATCCAGCGTTTGGTCATTTGTTAACAGTTAACTGGTGTCTCATAATTCATTTATATTTATGAACGGGTAATCTCTCCGCTGTAATCTGAAATCTTTCATTCGAAAATAAAGTAACTATAATTTTAACGCATTTTTTCTTGGTTCAGGTTCAAGTACTTCGGGAAGTGAGACTCGGAGCAGAACGTCATCTCATCCGTCCTTAGGAGATCCAACCCTAGGGGTTGAAGATAAACTCAGAACTCTATTTGTTGACTGCGGGGACAGGTAGGGTAGCTCAGAAAGTTGTTACATGACATGATAATTAATAAGATGTCATGAAAAATATGATTTTAAAGTTCCAGTGTGGCCAACTTAAACACACAGATTGTAAATTTTTTTTAATTTTATTATCTTTTAACCGAGGGCCGAAATAATGTTGAGTTTTTAGCTCTTCTACTTCTGTCGTTGTAATAAACCTTTTTGCTTTAGACCTGCAACTGAGAGTGGATACATGTCAAATTCTACTGGAAGACAGGTTTCAGAGCAATCTTTGCTCTCAGAGCACGCCGTGGACGCGATGCTCAGGGTTCGGGACAGAACTGATCAGCTCAGGTATTAATGAGATCCATTTAAAAAAAGGACTACCTTGGAAACCCAGCTTTTCCTTACAACTAGACTCGCTTTAAAAGTAACCCCACTCAACCAAAGATAAGAAAATGCCAGTGGTTCTACCGAATTCCTCAAATCTAAATTTGATGCAAATCGGTTCAGGGGTTAAAGCTCTGATCGGACATCCAAACAAACAGAGATTGGTACTAATTTATATATTTTTGCTAGGGTTTATATGAAGTATTTAACAGATTAGATATTGAAATCTAACTATTTAATTGTGTAAACCAATTTTCCAGTTCTGATCTTAATACTAAACTTAAACACTCGACTAATACAAAATTCCCAAATTGGAAGATCTTCTGTAAATTCTTACTTACTATTTATATTTAAAAACCCTGATATCTCCAATTAAATGAAACCAATTTTTTCAGTGTTCTGTCCGAGGATCAGGATTTAGGAAGTGTATGTGATGATTCCCATTCAGCCTCCATCCTAACTTCTCCACCTCCACCAACCTTCACGGAGGCATCCACAGACACGCCTCCGAAGCAAGAGGTTCAGCTCCGGTATATCCTCCAAATATTTGTTGAGGCCGGTTGCCTGGACTGGGCAATCTCCGTAGCTGTTGTGCTACGGGACGCGATGGCGATCATAAGAATAGTGAACGCGGCGAGAAGCGCACCGGACGCCCCTAAGATAGTTCGCCGGCTTTACGATGGATTTATTCAACTAGATGGATATGCCCAGCATACATGTTTAGGATACAGAGGTTTTCTAAACAGTATTCAACCTCAGATAAGAAGCCTTTCTCGATTTGTCAATGCTTCTCCACCCTCTATTCTAACAGGAAAGACTCCTAGCCGCAGCTCCCTTACCAGTTCTTCTCCGCCCCTTCGACCTTCCCTCCCTAGATCATTAAGTGATCCCAAGGGAACCGGGAGTAAAACCCCCCCTAGATCCTCCCCCTCCCCTCCATCTACACCAGGAGAAAGTATAGAAACCGAAGAAGATCCTTCTGCTTGTACAATTTCATAAATAATCCATCCTTGATCTCCAGTAGCTCCTCTACTCTTATCTCCCCTCCGAACCCACCAGTATTCCGACACCTTACATTCCTCCTTGGTTTCGAATCTCCGGCTTGAGTAGTGATTCAATCTGTGATCTTGTCCCACGCCTGGTCGTGTTAAGAAGATAATAATGAATTCGTTTTATTCTGTAAGAAATTATGTTTTCATCCTATTATTCATAACCTTTTTGTCAGTTGTCAGTGAATGTATTTTAAGATTATTGAAAATATCCGATCGATCATTTTTTAGATAATTTTTATAGTTTCCCATGAAGTAGATAAAGTATAGAAATTAATTATCATGATTCAAATCATGCCGAATGCATTTATTTTAATGGTATGGGCGTTTGTTAAAGTTTTTATATATTTTATTAGTTTTTACATTAGTTTTTTTTATCATACAAAACCGTGAAATAGTATTGAATGCAATACAAATGTTTGGTTCAAGCAATAATTTAGTTGGCAAAAATTTACAATCTTTAGCGATACACTAATTAGTCATTTTTTGCGTAAATAAGCATAATATTTAACCTCTTTTCTTGGCTTTTTAATTGATTCTTTCTGTCTATTAGAAGTTGTAATAGCTAACATTTTTACTGTGCAAAAGTATTCTGCAAAAAAATCTACGTTTCTTTGCTTTCAATTAAAGAGACTCGTGTTGATGCAAAGTTGGCGTTATTTGAGATTTATTGCAACTGATTTAAACATTTTAAATTTAATATTTTTCAAAGCAAAATGTCGACTGTTAGTAAGTTAAGCTATTTTTTTAATACTAATCATAATCTTATGTTTTGAAACTGTATTGTGATGGGATCTATATTTCTGATTTTGTAGAATTTATATCTGTATTGTAATTCAATGCTTGAATTGTAAATAGTCTATCCAGTACAATAGGTTGCAATGGGATTTGGAAGAAATTATGTCGTGTAGAGGCAATTAAATTCAAGATTAAACAAAAGGAGAAAAGAATAAAGACATTAATTTAAACTAATTTAGCTGCTAACTAAATCTGTCAAAATTTATTACATCTATTGCAAATTTCGACACTGAAATTGAACTTGCGCCAGTGATGTAAATACAGTTGTGTTAAATGCATACTTATGCTTCAGTGCCCTTATTGTACATGATAATCTATTTGCATGAAATGAGACAAATATTTAATATTTATGAATATATTGCAGACTGATGGTTAGGTTGCAGGAGCAGTTACTGATCCCCAGGAACCTTCAGTGTAATCATAACTCTTGCTGATATATATATAATATATATATATATACAGTTCAATAAACATCTAACCCCGGCTGTGATCCAACCACTGTACTCCTTGAAAATCCACAATGGGTGATATTGATGATTTCTTCGCTAAGAAGGATAAGAAGAAGAAGGGAACTAAAAAGTTCTCTAAAGCTAACACTGATGTCATCGCCAAGAATCTCATAGATTCTGACAGGTTGGATATTATCTTAAATGAACTAAAAACTAGATTTATTTTGATTTAAACATGTTTGTTTTTGTTTAATTTTGGGTTTAAGTGGACCGGGTTTGGAATCTGGACAAAATTCCATATATAAATTTTTTTTTACATTAAATGATTTAAATACAGGGATTGGGTTACTTGATAATATTTTATGAGCTAATTACTATGTAGAAGCACGAAGTAAAACTGAAAAGTGCATTTTGAATCCATTTAAGACTTATATCTTAGGCGAGCATGTTATGTTGCAAACAAATAATAAGTTAGATTTTCACTAAAACAAATTTTATGATTAAAAACAAATTCAACTGGAGATGAAAATTCTAATAATGTTTTAGGAAGGAGTTGAAGGAGTTGGAGAGACAGGAGAAGGAGGTCGGAACCCAGCTGATTGAAGAGAAACCTATCCTAGTCCTCGGTACACCTGCTATACCACCTCCACAGGAGGATGAGGTACAACCAGAGAAATATTTAGTCTGACGGTGTCGAAAAACTTTGAATTGAGACACAGAGTTAAACTTGAACATTTTTTCTCGATATTCAATTTAGGCACTTTTAAATTTGAGGATTTACGCTTGTTCCTTCAATTAAAGAGTCATTTAGGAAACAATCCTGAGATCCACAACATAAAAGTTCTAATCTCCCAATTGACCATAGATTTCGTTATCCATTGGAATTAAACAATAAACATTCAACGCAAGCCTGTGCCTGAAGATGACTGATATTAATAAGAATGAATTTAAACTTATTTCTCCCATTAACAAAACTAGATTGGAATAAATGTAATGAAAGTAATCAGATGTGAAATTACGCACAATACACATGGTCTTAAAGTTGGAAGCTAATATTTTACGGTTAAATTTATGGAAGGGGGTCGAAAATATCTTCAACCCCCCGAGGTTCACCTTATTTTTTGCGTCTTTTGCATGAAATTTCGAAATAATGCTGATTATGCAAAAAAAAAAGTTTTTTTAACAGATTTACGAGGCAACTCTCTTTGGGTTTTGAATCCATGTTTTTTTCTTAAATCACTGTGTTTTATCCAGGAGTGGGATGATTACAGGGAGAACAAGAAGGATTACTCCGGGTTGAAGATAGAAAACTTGAAGATAGAAGAACAGATTTCAGAGGATGAAGAAGAGGAAACTGAGATTAACGAGGTCAGTGTTGAAAAAAAAATTGAATCCTGTATTTTTTCCAAAAATATTCGCGAAATGTCTGAAAACTGATTAAAAAATAAATAGTCAAATTATTGGTGGAGATCGGGCTGAAACTCAAACCCTTATGTAGGAGCTTTTTGCTATTCCTTTAAAATGTGATTTAATTTGATCTACAATATTAAAGAACAGATTTCAGAAGAAATGATATTGACAATTTTAATCATATTCGACTATATTGAATGAAAAACATTTTTAATCGATTCTACTTTTTAGGACGGAGAAGTTGTGAAGGTTCGGAAGGATGACTCTGGGCCCTGGAGTAAACTGGCCGGACAACCTGGAACTTATGAACCTCATCATCAGCAGGTACATTTCTTATTAACGTTTTTTTTTAACAATATGTTTTAAATAGAATAGACGATGGTCGAAGCAATTAAACAGATCATTACATAATTTTCTGCACTCTTCTTCCCCAATTTTCTTCCTTGTGATGCAACTTCCATCACGTTCTTGGTTAAATTTTGAAAGGAAAGTTTTTTTGGACGTCTCGATAATCGCCAATATAATGTCGGTTCCCAGAATTTTAATATTTATCTCGAGACTGAACTGTACCTGCTGTGAAATTCCTCATAATTAATAAATTTCTCAAATATATATAAATGTTTTTTTTATTATAAAATTTTGTGTTTGAAGGATCTGACTCCGGAACCGGAACCAAGTATTCAGACTCCCAACGTTGTCGGAGGTTCCTACATTCCTCCGCACATGCGAGGAGGAGCTCCGGCTGCAGCGGAGCCAGAGCGGAAACCGGTTCCTCGTGGTAGAATGCGTCCTGCGCCGGATATTAATAGCGAGGTCTACTTCCCGTCGTTGTCCTCCGCATCTGAGGACGGAGGTCCTAAGGGAGCCTGGGGTAAAACTCCCCGTGGGACAGGAGACGGAGGACATTTCGAGGAGGTGCGGGAGAGAGGGAACCAAAACATCTCCAGGCATACCGAGGCTCCGAAGTTGTCTCTGGAAAACAAGTTCTCAGCTCTACGAGACGGAGATTAAACACGCCTTTATCCGAGTATTTGCTTACACTGATATTTTACTCGTATAACCTTTTTATTATCTTGCGCAATACATCAGTATACTCAGTCCAGTTTGCCATGGAATAAAGGATTACTATCGAATAAATTATTCAAAATTTTTTTTTACAGAAAAAATGTTGTAAGCTTGTACGTAGAAGTATAAGAGTAGGAGCTTTGAGTAGGTAGGTAAGTTAGACGGTGCCTTTGGCAATCGACAAATTATTGCGATATTGATAAGATTGTCTCTTAATACAATGTTACGTATACGAATTTGTTTTCTTTCGTAAGTTAATTAAATCGTATCCAAACCTCATGCTACGTCTGCCAGACTTACCAGTTCTGTCTTCTCGTCAAGCAATCCGTTATTCAAAACAAGTATTTGGATTTTACATCCACCAAAAGCCTTTTTTTCGTATAATCTCAACATGATTATAAAGTTTTTAATGATACATTATCAATTTGTATTAAAAAGTTTACTTTTATTGAGAATAAAACTTCTTATTTTATTCTTCTAAGTTATAAAGGGGATGGTGGAGTTGCCATGTTTGATGTAGGGGGGGCTGCCTTCATTTTTGGTTCAAACCTTTCAATTTTTGGCTGCACGCCTAATTAGTGATTGAAATTCCTAATATTAAATCAAATTGAATTTTGATAACCTCCACAATTAGAAAATATTTCAACTATGGCTTTATGCATATCAAACGAAAGCTAGGAATCCCAGGAATACAGTAGCAGCAACAAATCCAGTGTTTGACCTTCTAATGACCTACATGTTCTCCAAAAATGAAAATGTTTTAACTATGGCTTTAGGCATATCAAACGAAAGCTAGGAACCCAGGGAATACATGATAATTTTGAGATTTTTAGAAAATAAGGCTTTTGGTGGATGTAAAAGCCAAATGTTTGTGCTTAGTTATCGGATTACTGGTCGTGAAGACGGAGTTTGTAAGCCCGGCAGACGTAGCATGAGCTGTAGAATCCAAAAAAATCTACTACTAATACTAAATAGTTCAAAAAATATGTCGCACTCGTTCCAAACACAATTGTTTTCTTACCTTAAAGACTGTTATAACAAGATATGGAACATGTCGAGCACGTTTTTTTTTATTTCAACATGAACAAGTCAACATGTTTTAAATGGGTGTAACTATTAAAAATTTTAATTAAATCGAAATTTTGGACTTACTATTACGTTCACAATTTCTGAAAGTTTTGAATTGTTTTAACTTGAAACCTTCTAACTAAATGTTATTTTACTACTTTCAATAATATCTGCGATCTTAAAATCGTTATTAAACATTATTTTGGGTGTAAGAGAGAGTAAATACTAGTTAAAATATATATTGATATTTACTTCATTAGACAACTGAAAATTCCTGAAAAATACAGATCTGAAAGTTAAATACAGGTGGTTCTTTAGTTTTTAGCTGCGGGTGACTAAAAATCCAAAATATCGTTTTTGTAATTTTGTCCTTCGTGGGTAACCCTGTAGATTCCGATGAAAACTAAATTATGCTGAATAATTATTCAAGATTTTAACAATATCTAATATCCATCAAGGACATCTAGGTCCACATTAAAACCACGATAACGCCTTTAATTAAACTACTCGTGACATCTCCCCTCCCCCCATCCTCTTCCTTGCATTTCTAATCTCCACCCTCAAACTTGTTCCCAATTAGTCCTGCACTTAATATCATTCCAGGGTTAAATATATTTTCACCTGGCATGTTGTTTTTCTACCTAAGAAACGGAATAGGAAACGAAAAATTACGATTTTAAATATGAGAAAATGAAGAAACAACAAATAAAAAATATTTAATTATGAATATTAATTTTTTTTAGGTTGGGAGGTTTCAAATAATCTTTTTTTTCTAATTATTGGATGGAATTATGGATTTTTAAACACCCCTGATATTATTGATAAATGCACCTTACGTTTGATAATACTTCGATGTGTATAAGGAGTATGAGTTGCCTTCATTTTTGGTTCAAATTATCCAAGTTTTTAGCTGCATGTCTAATAAGTGATTTATTTTTCCTAAAATAAAAAACATTGACACAAATGATCTTTAATGACCATGACAATTATAAATTGTTTCAACTATGGCTTCATGCATATCAAACGAAAACTAGGAACCCAGGCAATACAGTAGCAGCAAGGAATTCAGTGTTGGACTATAAAATGACCTCTTATTACCTTCAAATCGAAAATGTTATAACTATGGCTTTTATCTATATCAAATGAAAGCTAGGAACCCAAATAATTCAGTAACAGCAACGTATTCATTGTTTGACCTTCTAATAACCTCCAATGACCTTCAATTTGAGAATGTTTCCACTATGGCTTTATAGTATATCAAATGAAAGTTAGGGACCCAAATATTACAGTAAAATTTGGGTTCCTAGCTTTCATTTCATATGCGTAAAGCCATAGTCGAAAAATAAATTTCAAATTGGAGGTCAATGGAGGTTGTTAAGAGGTCATTAAATGGTCAAATACTCAATTTGTTTCTGTACTGTATTGCCTGGGTTCCTAACTTTCGTTTGATATGCAAAAAGCCATAGTTAAAACATTTTCAATCATGTGTACACTACTAATATTATCTTAGCTATGAATATTACAGTGTAGGGTGCATAGTGCATAGGTGTCATGTATTGTATACACTACTAAGTACTAATATTATCTAAACAATGAATATTACAGTGTAGAGTGCATAGGTATCCTGTATACACTACTAATATTATCTAAACTAAGAATATTACATTGTAGGGTGTATAGTGAATACACTAGTAAAGCTATGAATATTACATTGTATAGTGTATAGATATTTTATAGTATATTCATTACTAATATTATCTAAGCTATGAAAACTACAGTGTAGGGTGTATAGTGTATAATGTATACAGTACCAATATTATTTAAACTATGAATATTACAGCGTATAGTGTATATTGTATAGTGTATACACTGCTAATATTATTTAAACTATAAATATTACAGTGTAGGGTGTATAGAATATAGTGTATACCCTACTAATATTATCTAAACTATGAATATTACAGTGTATAGTGTATACACTACTAATATTATCTAAACTATGAGTATTATCTTAACTATTAATATTATTGTATAGTGTATATTGTATATTGTATACCCTACTAATATTGTCTAAGCTATTAATATTACAGTGTAGGGTGTATAGTATATGGTGTATACACTACTAATATTATCTAAACTATGAATTTTATCTTAACTATTATTATTACAGTGTATAGTGTATATTGTATATTGTATATTGTATACCCTACTAATATTGTCTAGGCTATGAATATTACAGTGTATTACTAAAATATTCATAGTTTAGATAATATTGGTAGTGTATACACTATACACAGTGGTAGTGTATACACTATACACAGTGGTAGTGTATACACTGTAATATTCATAGTCTAGATAATATCAATACACTATATACTATACACCCTACACTGTGATATTTTATAGTATTAATAATATTAGTAGTGTATACACTATAGTAGTATTAGTAGTGTATACACGTGTATAGTATATAGTGTATACACTACTAATATTATCTAAACTATGAATATTACAGTGAAGGGTGTATAGTGTATAGTATATAGTGTATACACTACTAATATTATCAAAACTATGAATATCACAGTGTAGGGTGTACAGTATATAGTGTATACACTACCAATGTGTATAGTGTATACACTACCAATGTGTATAGTGTATACACTACCAATATTATCTAAACTATGAATATTACAGTGTATAGTGTATAGTGTATAGTGTATAAACTACTTTTGTTATCTAAACTATGAATATTACAGTGTATAGTGAATATTGTATACACTACTTATATTATCCAAACTATGAATATTACAGTGTAGGGTGTATAGTGTATACACTGCAGCTGAAGGATCGATTGCTTTCTGTTCCATGGAGGCCAATATTCTTTCCGTCCTCCACCAAACGTGAGAATTTATTTATATTCAGTTATTTCTTATTTACGTGAAGCAACTTCTTATACTTTCTATGTTTTTAGATAGTCTCTATATTTTTGTCATTTTTTTTATCTTTTCCATAATCAGATTATGTCTTGATTTTCATACAATTTCGCAAGGTTATTGTCTTTTGACAGATATTTCAGTTAATTATCAGTTATATAGGTCAATTTGGTGAAACATTTACTTATTTGTATTGTTAATTTAATAATAGTGCTTGTATTTAACAGGTATACATTTATGCATAAACACATACTTATTATTTATGTTCTATTTGTCGATGTGAAATACACCGTAATTTTGCAGCAAATTAATATTAACATGGAGTAAGTTTTTCATAACAACAAAATATATAATTTTCCACCCATATTAAAAATATTATAAATGATTATGATTATGGGGCCACTCTTCCTTATTTTGGCGTTGAATTTTTGATGATATATAACATATTACATTGTTGTACACTATACATACAATATTACAATTGAAGTTACGCAGATTTTTTTATTAAAATTAATTTTAAAAAAAGAATTCAGCTGTTCTTATGTTTATTAGACAAGCCCTATTATTAAATTACAAAAATCTTTAACGCGGATTAAAAAATTGTAAAGATATTCATTAATATTTCAGTGTAGAAGTTGAGAAGCATCTACGTGGTTCCAACCATGTGAAGGGGGTTCTAGTCCTTGATCATAGAGGACTCTGCCTTGCTTCACAGGTATATACATACAATGAAGACGACCTTTTAATTAAGTTTTGATTGTTAATAAGCTTTTTCGAATAACACGTTTAAAAGTAAGGAGAGAGAAGCTTTTTTATTGACAGCTTCTCTTGACTTCTATGTGTATCCAGCTTGCTATCAAAATTGAAATCGAATTTCGTCTTCATTGTATTGATATAATCGCCTACAACTGTAGATCGAGGATCATCTTTAAAGTTAAGGGTCTGTAATCGTAATTTCAAGAGATCCTCCATGCAAAAATAGCAATGCCCGATTTACAACGGTACCCTTGAAACCTTTATCTGATTAAAAATGTGAAAGATATTGTCGTTTTTCAGATAATTTCTCCATTGCTTCTTTTAAGCAAAATTGCTTAAGTAAGAAACAAGAACATGGATATATATAATTCATACTTTATCAGACAACGCTTTTAAGGATACCTTTGTAAATCGGACATTGTCGTCTTTGCATGGAGGCTTACTCAAAATCACGCTTTAACACCTTAATATTTGAGAAACAGTCTGCGTAACTTTAGTGAGCCTTCATTTAAGGAGTTATATACAACAAATCAGTTTTATACAGAAATTGAAATTGCAATTATAAAACAAGAATAAGGAATGTTACCATTTAACTAAATGAACAGTTGAAATTCAGCTTTACATCAATAATTTTATGTATTTAGTTCATTTGTTAAGCTGTTGTGACACCCATACACATTAAAGCATTGATTAGTAACAATACAGATAGAACACTAGATGTCGTCTTTTCAAGATTTAGGAGGTTTTCGTTCACAATAACCCTGAGGCAGAAGTCCAAAGGAGTTACGCGAATGCCGCGTAGGACAGGCCTTCTCTCTGTCATGTAATTCAACGCTGCATGCGCGTAGCTCCTTTGGGCGTCTGCCTCAGGGTTATTGTGAACCAAAAGAACCCTAACTCTTGAAAAGACGACAGCTAGTGATCTATCTGTATTGTTATTAATCTATGCATTAAAGTCTCACATAGCACTTATTCTCTTCATCAATTCTTGGAGATTTATTTGAATATTTTTTTTATAATATTTTACAGGGTGAGGGTAAGCCGGAGTTAGCGGGTTTAGCAACCAAACTATCTGCATTGGCAGGACGGATAGAACCAGACGAGGAGATTCCTGTTATCCTTGTAGAGTCTGGAGTCAGGTATACCAGGATACTAGAGTAGGTAGGGTTGGATCTAGTATTCCTGTATTCTTGTAGAGTCAGGACAGGAGTCAGGTATACCAGGATACTAGAGTAGGTAGGGTTAGATCTAGTATTCCTGTATCCTTGTATCCTTGTAGAGTCAGGAGTCAGGTATACCAGGATTCTAGAGTAGGTAGGGTTGGATCTAGTATTCCTGTTATCCTTGTATAGTCATGAGTCAGGTATACCAGGATACTAGAGTAGGTAGGGTTGGATCTAGTATTCCTGTATCCTCTGGAGTCAGGTACACGGTCCAGGAACCTGCTTTTCAGCAGGATAGGTTATTATTATATAAATCTTTATTCAGTTCTAAGCGATACAACGGGAAGCTAACAGTAAAAAAAGCACAGGGTTTAACAAAGAGAGTCAATTATTTATATATGAGAAAGCTTATATACGTAAATGTGGTTGATGAGAAAAAGAACCATTTTTAAATTTTTATTTTGTTAAATTCGGCAAAAAGCGAAGAAGAAAAAATCAGCCAAAAACATTTAAGGACATATAAACAAAATTAATGATCAGCGTTAGCTCACATTGAGGAGAAATGTAAGCGAGGTAATTTAAATTCATGAGATCTGAAGATTATATCAAATAGAATAAAATACACTACGAACATTTATCATTTAAATAAGACTTTTTCACGTACAAGTGAAAAACTAAACGACAAAGCGACAAAAAAAACAGGAAACCAGAATTAATTAAGTAGCGTAGGCTGGTATGGAAGACATAAAAGTACTGAGGTAGGCTAAGTAGGATTGGATCTAAGATCCAAATCCTATGACTGTAGTCTCAGGGTAGAGTTGGAATCTGTAAAACTTAAATTATCTTAATTAAGATTTTTTTTTCTAAAAGAATTAGTCCAAGAATTGTTTGCAAATACTTTGATTTATTTTATTTTGAAAGAAAAAATTTTATTTGAAAGAAAAGCTAAATCTTATTTTTATTTTATTAATTGGGATCTATCTTCTATCCTTTGTCAAATAAGAAACCTTACAAATTATTTATTCTTTCCCTTCGGTAATATTCTAAAATAAACCTAAATTCCAAAAATCATTTCTTCATCCAGCTTTCCCCTTATCTTCTCCGTATACTTTTATAGAAAATTATTCCATCATGTATTTATTTCATTCTCCCCCCCCCCCTTCATCTCAATAGTCGAGCGTTGAACATGTCAGGAGTAAATTTTATACGGCTTCGTTAAATTTTTATCAGAAATTTTAATAAATCTTGAAATCTTATTGAATTCTGGAAAGAACAGATCATTAATTCTGTTTTAAAGGGAGAGACTGGCTAGACATAGTAGTTGAGCTGAAGTGCAGTATTGTAGAGAAATTATTCAAGATTGATTGTCGTGATTGAATAATTTTTAAAAACCGATTCTCAAAATCTTCCTTTCAGAATGATCAATCCAAGATGAGTATAAAGGTTGAATTTGCGATCTTGGTGAACAAACATACTCAGTAAAAACGTCTTATTAGGTCTCAAAGAAATCCTCAGCAATACTCCACTTTCAGCTTGACTACCATGTCAAGCCGGTCACTCCCTTTAAATCCCATAATTTAATCTTCATTTTTTCAGGAAATACTTGATCAAGAGAGAAGATAAAGTAACCGTTGTGATTGTAAAAGAACTCTAGAAAAAATGAAATTATTCCTCCTTAATGTATCCCTCTGTATACTCCTAGTGGCCGGGGATGATCCTCGTAAGTTTAAACCCTACGAGATCCTAGGAGTTCAACGCTCCTCTTCTACACAGGAAATCAAGAAAGCGTTTAAACGTTTAGTAAAGGAACTTCACCCAGACAAGAATAAGTCCCCGGATGCTAATGACAGGTTGGAATTTTTACATTTTATTAGTGAATAAGAACTGATCTTCTAATCCTTATATCTTTCCAACCTTATTTCGTAGACCTTTGAAATTAATTAGAACAGAGAGTCGAATTTGGACTGACAAAGGTTTACGCCATTGGTGGGTAATGAAGATTCAGTTCACTTACTTGCTTAAAATTAAAAGTATTGTTTAAGTTATTAAATTCTGCTATTTTTCATGATATAAAGAATATTTTAAAATGCAATTAAATTTTTTTTAATTTTTATCATTCTAAAATTCAATTAAACCTTTTTTGTCCTGTTAATTAAATGTTTTTGTTAAAAAGTTTTTAAAAGAATATTCAGAAAAGATCAATTTTGAAATATAAAATAAGCGCGAGAACAAAATTAACTGTATTTGGGAGTTTAAAGGTAATTATATAAGTTTCAAGTGACCCTCCATCTATAAACCCAAGATAGACGTTAAAGATATTGATTCAGAATTAATCTTTCCAGGTTATTTGAACTAGTCCTAGTCCATTAATCTTCTATCTAACCTATGAAAGAGATTGAATATCTAAGATCAAGAATTAACCTATCCAGGTTCAATGAACTAGTCTTAGTCCTTGATCTTCTGTCTACCCTATGAAAGAGATTGAAGATCTAAGATCAAGAATTAATCTATCCAGGTTCCTTGAACTAGTCCTAGTCCTTGATCTTTTATCTATCCTATGAAAGGGATTGAAGATCAAAGATCAAGAATTAATCTATCTAGGTAGTTCGAGTCCATGATCTATGAAAAAGATTGAAAATAAATAAAAAAGGAACTAGTCAGAGTTATGATATACTTTCTAACCTATTTATGTGATAGAAGATAAAGATCAAGAATTGATGTATCTAGGTTTGTTGAACTAGTCCGAGCCCATGATCTTCTATCTGACCCTGAGAGGAAGCTGAACTATGATAACTACGGTATTACCGAGGAATCTCCGAACTTCAAACAGAAGCATGACTATGCCCAGTATAACAGGTAGTAATTTATAAAATATGGACTCCAGAAATTTTGAATGTTTTGATTCCCCCCCTCAAAAAAAAAAAAAAAATGGAAATTTTTTGGCATGGTTTGTTAATGGCCCTCAATTGGCATTTAAAGTACTTTTATTTCGTTTTATTATTTATATGACCAAAAAAATACAGCATACTTTTGTCAAGAGTTTAAGTGCTTTGCGTAAGAAAGAAATTGAGTCTTTGCCATAAACTCAAATTTTCTAATCCCTACATCTTTGCAACATGACGTGTGAAATTTTGATATTTCAAACTTAAAATTATTTGATGTAACAGAATTCTTTTTAAGGTTTGGAGATCCCTTCGATCATCTTCGTGATTTGTTCGGAGAAGGATTTGGAAAATTTCGAACTGGCAGAGAACAAAATATTTTCCATAAGCAGGTAATATTGAAAGATAGTGAGTTGACCAGTGTCTCCCCAATAGCCTATGTCAAAATCAGTCAACTTTTGGTACAGATAAGAGTGGTCGCTCATGTGGTGCCCAAGGACAGGTTTGTTAAACAAAATATTTTTATTTTTTATTTTTGACGAGCTTAAGGGTACCTGCTCGGGGCTTTAAGTTTAAAAAACGGCCGTTTTTTGCGATTTTTACAATTTTTTAAAGCCTGAGCAGGGACCTTAGACAACAAGCAATCTTCATTTTTTTTCTTCCTCTGTTATCTACATGATGTATACTAACATATAAAAAACCACTCTTCTTGCTTTCTAAACGCTATTATTAAAAATATAATATTAAAAATGTAGATTTTCAAAACAAAAACACGAAAATTGAAATTTTGAGGTTTGATCTCTAAGAAGATAACTCTTTATTAAATATAAAAAATTTCCATCAGTGATTAAAAAACAGAGTCATCAAGGTTGAGTCCTAACTTCTACTCAATAGCATCTTCAGATATGCCCTTAAGAGCTGCAGCTTTATAGTCAGTCTTCTTTCGACCCTTACGGTTTCGTTTGTAGACATTGGAAAACAGAAAGTTCTCCTGCCGTTTTTCTTCTGATCTTGCTGTGTCAATCAGCTCTTGCACAAGCTTTATAGCTCTTTCAGATGCATCATTTACTACTGCTATATTCTTGATGAAAGCAGTAATCTCACAGTAGAAATCATTGGTATTCAAGAACTCAGGAGGAAGTTTCATCCACTGGATCTCAGCCCTGTTATGTTTAAGCAAGTCAAAGATCATCCAGGACTGCCCTGTTATCAGGGGTGTCAGACTTGGGGGCTCTTTGTCAGAATAGTTAAGACTTAGAAGAACTTCTTTATTCACTACTTGCTTTTCCAGAGGAAATTCCTCTGGACGAGGTAGAGAAAATAGCTTCTTGGTTATTTCCCCTCTGTTAGGATATTCTTCATCAGCCAAAGCAAAAACAACTACTGCTGGATCCAGATACCAACTGTGTCGAAGTATGGATGTTATTGTTGTTGATGCAGATTGCAGAGTCTAGGTTAAACTCCTTAAATCTGCTCATCTGCCAGAGAGCTTTAATATCCTGAAGTACATTCATTTGTGTGAAAAACTTATAAGGTTAAACAAATCTATGGATTAAATGTTCTAAACTTCAAATGAGAAATGATTGTGAACTACAAAAAAAATAAAATTAATGATGAGTGCAAGGTAGATAGTTTATAATTTTTAAAAACCTTCAAGAGGAAGCTGTTTCTTATAATTGAAATTCTAAGTTAAATTTTTACCTGAGCTGGAGCTGTGTTAGATATTTCAGCTCTCAAGAACCATTCTGCATAAAACAGACTGATAAATGTAGCCATCTCTGTGACCTCTCTCTTCTCATCATTTGTTAAGCCAGGAACATGTTCAATCAGTAGAAATATCTTCAAGAAGTATATGGCCTTAGCCAGAAACCGGGCATTGTGAAGGGCTCCAGGTATATGTAGCTTGAACCTAATATCCACTGACAAGACCATTACTACTAGTTCTACAAGTTCTTTATAGTCCCTACGCTTCCATTTCCCCTCCTGATCAACAATTTTTATGATAATTTGCTGTTTAATTGAATGTTAATTGTTAAGTGGATTAAAATAAATTTCTGAGATAATATAAGTAAATGTACCTGGTTCATCACATTGAAGTTGATAATATTTTTGGTAAATTGCAGAGCTTCTGATTTTGCCTCAGATAGAAAGGAGCCAGGGTGTATGACAAGTTTGTTAAGTTTAGTTTTTAGGCCAGTATCTATGTGGTTCCATTGGGTTTTCGACTTTTTAAACAATTGATTATCAGGAACAGTGGTCTTACTTCCAGGATAATTCTTCCAAAAATGAACTACATGATGTTCATTAACATGGTGCCTACACCCAAAATGAAGAATTGGGTTCTGAATCAGCCTAACAATTCTGGTACAGACACCAGAATGTTGTCCTGTATTTGATGCAGTTGTATCAAAGCACATGAATTTAATCTTATCCATTAGATTATACTGCTCCAGAAGTGATTTCATTAGCTCTACTTGGGCTTCACCAGTACCAGAATCATTGCCAGGGATTCCAAGGAGCTCTGTCTGATTATCAATCCTCACTGAAATTGCAATCCTGTCCTTTTTTAGGCGTTTTCCATCTGTTAGGTCTTGAACTTTCCATCACAGTACAGACCAATTGGAAAGTTAGTGGAGTCAAGAAAATACAAATTTTTCGTGTTTTTTGAAAATCTACATTTTTAATATTTTATTTTTAATAGTAGGGTTTAGATATCAAGAAGAGTGGTTTTCTATATGTTAGTATACTTCATGTAGATAACAGAGGAAGAAAAAAAATGAAGAATGCTTGTTGTCTAAGGTCCCTGCTCACTGCTCAGGCTTTAAAAAATTGTAAAAATCGCATAAAAACGGCCGTTTTTTAAACTTAAAGCCCTGAGCAGGTACCCTTAAGCTCGTCAAAAATAAAAATTAAAAAATATTTTGTTTAACAAACCTGTTCTTGGGCACCACATGAGCGACCACTCTTATCTGTACCAAAAGTTGACTGATTTTGACATAGGCTACTCCCCAACCTATAGTACTGATGAGGACATCAAGGAAATGTCGAAATATATTTATTGAAGAAGTGGTCTCCATCGTTAATTTCTAATCTGGTTTGGTTCAACCTGCCTTCACCAACTATATGAAAGATAGTGAATCAGAATTAAGATTACTTGTTAACTGTCATAAGAACTATTTACAACTATTATACAGGGAAATTGAGGAAATTTTACTTTATCAAGGGTTCCCAAGACCAATTTTGCCTGCAAAACCCATGGCTAAGTTAATTTTTAATTTCCAAAAAAAATTAGTTCTAAACAATTTTATCGTCTTTTGTGATGCAAGTGTGCAAATTTTTTCACAAAAACTTTGCAGAGCGGGTCATTATTTTACTTAACGTCCCTCTGTTGGAAGAATCAATGTATTGGTCAGTAATGTTGGTCAAAAGGCGGTAAAGATGGTTACAATCTTATAAATACGTAACATTTGAATTCGAAGTTGTCGCCTTTTTTGTATGTTAGAGGAGGTAGAGGAGGAGATTGAATCAAAACTAAAAGTTTCGGATTTATGATTTCTCTTATACTTAATCTTGCCATTAACTGATATTGGGGTTCTTTTTATAAAATAATAAAATTAAATGATGGTTTTTTGTTATTTAACGTGTTATTTAACCAATCAATAAAGCCAACTCGGAACTAGATTCGAAGGACATTCATGAAATGTTTAGAAAAACAAGAAAAAATTGTTATGGATTGTTTGAACTGAAAAAAAGGGAAATATGAAATATGAAAAATAACCATACATCTTTGACAGACAAAATATTAATATTTATTTTATTTTTGTATTAAAATTTGGTTTGAATTTATAATTTTGTTTCAAATATTAAGAAGATTTTAGCGAAATATTTAAAATTGTTATGATTTGTGAAAATCATTTTTGTTCTGTCTCTGCAGGGTTTGTAAACTTTTTCACACATAAAAAAATTTAAAATTTACAGATTAAATGAAAAAAGAACTCAGAAATTAGTGGATTTCCATTTTATACCGCGTGGTCCCCAAAATAATGTAAAAAAAGACAACGAAAATTTTGAAACTTTAGATATTTAAAAACAAAATCAATTGCAGTGAACGTACCAATACTAAATCAGTAATAAATTCGTGTAAAATTTGAATTGGATTCAGATCATGTTTCTGTTCCATTATATTTTGGATACCACTCTGTATTATATGGCAAAGTGACTCAATTGTAGACATCTCAAAAACGTTAGATTTCTCACGCGTGTATCTGAGCCGAATGCATTTTTGCACTAAGTACGCTTATCTGATCCTTTCGTTGTTGTTTTTTGCACTAATATAATGAAGTTAAAAAATAGAGAAAACCAAACTAAGAAACTTCTTAGAAAAATAAATGAAAATGAATCCTTATAACCAAGGGTTAAAACTGAATTAAAGGTGTTCTTGAGCCTTAAAACAAACATATTTAACAATTTTGCAGCCTTATTACGGAATGATAGTTGATTGTATGTTTGTTTTAGCATCTTTATTTATGTTTTATAACCAATTTTGCACCCTTGAGTAAATCCTATACATTATAACATTTATTAATTGTATAGAGTGTGACGTATAAAGCGTATAGTACAACCCTGGTTCCCTCTAGTTACAAGCAACCTCATCTTGTTCTCTTCTATTCAGATTGGTGCTTCAGCTGCGCACAGGTATACCTCCATCAGATACAGAGGGGATACGTTTATAATACAGGGTGGATACCGATCCATTATTAATTATTATACAAGGGAATATAGGGTGGATACCGATCTATTATAAATTATTATACAGGGGAATGCAGGGTGGATACCGATCCATTATAAATTATATACAGGGGAATACAGGGTGGATACCGATCTATTATTAATTATATACAGGGGAATACAGGGTGGATACCGATCTATTATTAATTATTATACAGGGGAATGCAGGGTGGATACCGATCCATTATAAATTATATACAGGGGAATACAGGGTGGATACCGATCTATTATTAATTATATACAGGGGAATACAGGGTGGATACCGATCTATTATTAATTATTATATAGAGGAATAGGGATTCTTTTTTTATTTTAAGTATTTGGTTTTCATTTTTTGGAGGACTGATTCGGATCCAATTTTATTTAGGACGGATACATTTGTTTAGGACAGATCAATCATCTGCATTAAAAATATGATTGATATTGACGACTGGCTAAAGAATTGATTTAAAATGAATTGGAGATATTTTTAAATTGTAAAATGTAGATTATTTTTCATTGCCCAAAAAATAAGGTGATTCTTTGGACCGTTGGTTTAACTTAGATGCCATGAATAATAGTATAAATCATAGATATTTTAATATTATTAAAAAACATGATTTTATCTTGAATTGGGTTCAGGGAATGTTTACAACGAAGTTACAAAACCAGAGCTGGGAACTTAAGAATGGTGGATATCAAAATCAATGCTTGATCCTCTCTTATTCTTAATCTCGAGACTAACCTAATCTTGTCTTGTATTCTGAAAAGTGTATAAAATTCAACCAATCAGAGTCGCGTATCAGAAGCTGGGAAATTTGAAATTTTAAGCGCCATTTAAAATTAATATACAGAAACGGGAGGGACTTTCTAATTTTTAAAAACCGGGTTTTGATTGTTCTGTACTGTATCCAAAAAAGAGTGGATTAAGCAGGAAATTATAAGTGTCCACAGTGAATATTCGGATTAAGAAGTCGGGAATCAAGGTATCCCATACTTAAGTTCCCAGCTCAGTACAATTTGTAAAAAATGTAAATTGAAAAAGAAATAAGAGAATTGTAGAAAGAGAACTAAATAATATGTTGGACAACAACAAGGACGACAAAAGATAAATGTTCTTGGATCGTAAGAAAAACTTAGAGTTTCAATTTAAAAAAAAATGTCGGATTTATTTTCAAACTTGAGAATTGGTATCTTTATTTACCAAAAGAAAATAGTAAATAAATGATTTATTTTAATTGTTTTTTTAGGTGATTCCTATGTGGTCTAAGTTAGTTGAGGAGCTGGAACCAATAGGATTTGTTCTAGCCACAGTGCACACTGAACATGAGAGAGAACTCGCCAGGGATTCACATATTTAATATTAATTTAATGTTTTTTGTTAAGATTTATAAACCGAGAACCAGATTTTATGAGATGTGAGGTGTAGTTGATTTACGGAGATGTAGTTGAACCACTTCTCTTGTTCACCGGTTTAAGTTGAATTGAAGTGGTTTAGCTAAGTCTATGTAGTTAATTACCATTTAATCTGGTCATCGGATAAAATCTGTACCAAGCAGCGTATTCAATGGAGGGGCTATGGGGGCTCAGCCCCCCCTGGACCACTAAAACCTATGGATTTCAGTGGGTTTTCATGTCCAAACGGGTGCTAAGCCCCCCGCCCCCCCCGACAAATTCCTGAGTACGCCCCTACTTGTATCTATTCTAAAAAAGTTAGTTTATCAAGTTTATTTTAGCAATAAAAATAACATCTGGGACCGTTTTAACTAGCTGTACCTCTTACACCGTTTGTTTCTTGTTTCTCTTATTTTACTTGTTGCCTAGAGCGTTTTAAGGGTCTGTAAGTGCAGTTTTGAGTGACCCTCAATGGAAAGATGGCAAAGTATCATCACATCGTAACCTTTTAAAGCTTTTTCTGATCCAGTTTGAATGAGATATCAATGTTTTTATTTCTTTAAACTGTTCATTTTCATTTGCGAGTTCTCTGCGAAAGTGATTTGAGCATTTCTTGTTTAAAAGAAGCAATGGAGAACTTACAGTTAATAAACACTTTTCAAGCTGGAGAAACGACGAAATCTTCCACATTTTTGATAAGATTGAGATTTCAAGGCTACCGTTGTAAATCGGACATTGCCATCTGTGCGTAGAGACTCATTTGAAATTACGCTTACAGTCCCGTTAAGGGAATCTTATTCTGGGGATTTAGGATGATATCGTGATTCTTTATTTCATAGAAATTAAGTTTATGGCCTAATATTAGTTTTTCCGGAACTTTTCAAACTTCTTGGTGGATCCCATTATTTTCTTCTTAGTATTTTTCATCTTCTTATTTCCGGTTTATTTAAGATTTAAAAGTACAACGATGCAGCTTTACCCACAATTGATGAGATTTCAGAGACAACTATATAAAGTTTTACATTCAGGGTTCCTTGCAGGTCAAAACTGGCTTATTTGAAGAAAAAAAGTTTCAAATCGTCATATTTTAAGAGCTTTGGGTCGTCTTTATAGTCTCATCCTTTGTGGGAAAACCTGTATATTTCAACATTGACAAATATGTTTTATCTACAGAAAGATCGGAGTTAGAGAGCTTCCCCACCTTGTTCTTCTCACTGATGGAAAGGTATTATTAAAGACTTCTCAGAAAGAGTATTGTTGTGAATCGGAAACTCTACTAAATCACGTCATAAATCTTAAATCTAGCAACATTTATGGATTATCAAACCAATTATTATTTTTATAGATTTATTTCGTACACAAAGGTAAAATGGTACAGTATGATGAGACAAAAACAAGAATAATGTATAATATATAAATATAGTTTCTAGTCGGAACATAAAAGGTTGATCATGGTTGCGATCTCATTATCATCAAAGTTGTTTAGAACAAAATTATCTTCTTTAACTTTTAGTAATTCATGAAGAATGGGTAATTTCCATTCTTGGTCTAAAGGAATATGATTGTATATCATATTTTGTTTCACGCAAAATTTGTTCATATTTCTAGATTGTACATTACAATCTTGTTTAATAGATTCAAGATTTTTTACATAAAACAGTTCTTAAATCCTGTTTACTTGAATTTACTAAAATATTTGTAAAAATATTCGATCACTTTAATATTTCAGGTGACACACTACCGAGAGAGTATCCTGTCTGTAGTAAAGGTTCTGGAGTTTATCCGGCGGAAACTTCCCTATAAACTGGTTCAGAGGATTGACGATACTAACCTCGAGGACTTCCTCAATGGTTGGTCGGATAACAGGGTTAGGGTTCTACTATTCGGCAAACTTGACGTTGTCAGACTTAGGTAAATGTCTGCGCCATAGTCTAAAATAGAAATAAAAAGAAACTGGACGAATTTAAAGATAGAATGGGATAAAGAAATATTTTTACTTAGGTCACCAAATATGTTGTTATTAGTATTATGACCGATACAGACCTATGGGGAGCTAGATATGATATTAAATTAAATTCACTTATATTCCTGTTTTTTTTTTTATTTTTAAAACTTTTCTACATTTTGTTACATTTGTAAAAAAACAAAAATGTGAAGATTGGATTGTTTTAATTTTTATATTTTAGATATTTGACCTCTGGGTTCAAATACCGTGAGAGAGCAGCTCTGGGATATGTCCAGGTGATGAGCAAGGAGGTGGATAAGACCCTGAGAAGGTTCGACATCGACGTGAGCAAGGATACCCTGCTTCTGTTCCAGGAGGATTCTAGTAAACCTGTTGCTAGCATCAGTATGACAGATCTTCCAACCAATACTATTCTAGAGGTAAACTCCTGTTCATCAAAAAGCAAGTTTTGTTTTTTCTTTTTGATACTTTTACACAATCATCAATTGTTCCCCCAAAAAACTATTTTTTCCCCAATTCGCGGAAAAAAATCGTGAAAAATATTTTGAAGAATTAAAGAATTAAGAAAGGCTTTAAACTTAGTAAAGTAAATGAGCCAATCGGCAATTTTTCCATTCTTACAATCTTTTAACCCCGCGGTGTTTCGAAGAAACAAGTTACTCGAGGATTTTATTTCTTAGTAGATTAAAACTCTAAAGGATTTCATTGGAATTGAATTTGATATTTTTGAAATATTCTAAAAGATCCGAGTCCCTTTGTTATTAAGATAATATTTTCAATCAGTATGTCATTGATTTTGAGATATTTCAAAAAAATAAATTATTTTTATTTTCATTAAAGAAAGTGAAAAGGGAAAAATGATATTTTTTTAGTTACATTAAGATTACATTAGAAAATATTTTTGCACACTAAAATATTTACTTATTTTGATTTTTCCTGTGCAATTTTTTACCTTAATTATTAAGCCTTTGATTTATTTTAAATTATAATTTGATTTTCTTTTGCACAACCATTATTAACTCTAAAATTTTGCAAAATAGATTTTCATGGGAACTACACCTGCAACTAAACGACAAACACATTATAATTATAAAAAAATATGTTTATTTCAAGTGACCCTTCATGCAATAAAGGGCAATGCCAGATTCACAACGGCACCCTCAAAACCTTTGTCTGATCAAGTAAGAATTAGATATTAATGTTTATAATTTTCAATTATTTAAAATTGTGGTTTCTTTACAAACGAAACTTGCGCATTTCTACTGCAGGAAAACGAGGAATTATCATAACCAAACAATTTTAAACATTTCCCATATTATTGATCAGATAAAGTTTTCAAGGGTACCGTTGTAAATCGGACATTGTCATTTTGCACGGAAGGTCACTTGAAATTACGCTTACAGTCCCTTTAATCATATCTTCTAATCTAGCCCATCCTAGATCCATTAAGGACGTATTTTTCTCCTCAAATACTCATTTTCCAAATTTATAAACAAAAATTTAGTTCATATGTTTAGGTTATTGAGAAACATCAATTTCTACAGCTTCCACGACTTTCTTCACAAAGGTTCGATTTAATACTTTTTTACTATATCAGAAAACCCGTTCTAGACGAACACACAACGTTTTAAAGGTGACGGTTTTAAACAGAGTATGAATTGCCCTCTTTACATGGAGGGTCACTTAAAATTTTTTCACAGTAATTATATAGTAACTAAAAATATTTACCCTGTGTTTGAATATCTATTTTAATCAAAAAAGAAAGAATTTCTGTTGCATACAACATTTGAAATTTTTTTTAGAGTTTTTGACGCCCTATGTCCGACAGAATCCAGTAAAGCTCGAAAACGCCTTTGTGTAATCTTGTTCTGTCGGGACACCCCGGACCAGGACCTTCTCCGGGACTCTATGCGGGACTTCGTCCTCACCAACTCCTTCTCCAAGGAGAGAGTGAGGTTCACCTACGTGTTTCTGGAGCGGCAGCCGGAGTTCATCAATGCAGTAGCAAAGGTGGATTTTTATAAAACCTCTTAAAGAGAATGTAGAAGTAATATCGTGTTATCTTCCATGACCTGCTGTTCTATAAAAAAAGTGTCTACAGACCCTTAAATAATAAAAAAGTAGAAAGAATAAGTTTTCAGAAACATCGAAATGTCGGCCTTCGCAAATTTGCATGAATTTGTAATAGAATATTGATGCGGAGACATTTACATTAAATTCTTGTATTTGTGAGTAGAAGAGTCGAGTGGAGGTTGGGAGGGAACCCATGCCGCCATGAGCCTCCCAGATTTGCTATGCGGCACCCTGAGCCTCCGCTATGCAGTTCACATTTTACACTAACTTGTAAAGTTTTTTACGAAAAATTAAGAAACCAAATTATGTAATGTATTCGATTTGATTTGTTAAAATATTTTTTAGTGATACCTTTTATGAAAAATTATTTATGTTTAGATAAATCTAGAAAAGCAAAATTATTGTTTTTAAGATTTATCTAAATAATAAAGAAATCCACAAAAAAGGTATTTCTTAAATTAAGTTTCAGTATAAAATTTGTACTGCGTAGCGGAGGCTTGGTTCTGCATAGCACATCTTGGAGGCTCATGGCGGCCGGGGGTTCCCTCCATATTGTGGAAATTAGATTGTTCGAACTTACAGCTGAGCCTTTATCTGCATTCTATGCAAACTAGACACATGACAATAAACATAAAGAAAATAATATTAATCTCAATCTAAACAAAAGGAAAACTGCTGGTACAACTTTGTGACCTTGTAGCTCCTCTAGTTATGATAAAACCTTAAACCTTAGGACCAAGTAAATGTAAAAAAAAAATGGTTTCAGAAATTCAAAGCTTTTAAAATTGTTATTTATATATAGTTCTGGGATGAAATAAATCAAAAAATATATTCTAAGATGGATTAAAATAAAGAACTATATTGTAGGACGGATTTGACCCTGAGGAAAAGGTTCTCCTACTGTGGAGGCGGGGTGAGGAGAACGCTAAATATGAATGGTTGGAGAACTCCTGGAGTGGATCCAACACGAGTAGAGATGAACTCAAGGAAACCCTCTCTAGGTTCCTCTCAGCTAACGAGGTTCTCAGTGGAGAAGCGGTTATTCAACATCTAGTAGATGAACATGCTTCTAGTATATTTGTCAGGTAGTAAACTGTTCATTCAATATCTAGTAGATGAACATGCTTCTAGTATATTTGTCAGGTAGTAAACTGTTCATATATTCAATATCTAGTAGATGAACATGCTTCTAGTATGTTTGTCAGGTAGTTTATATATTCTTTCTCTCAAGGGGATCGATTGTCATTGTTTATAAAATGCTAAATATATGTGACATTTATGAATTAAATTCTCTTGATGCAGATGTTTAATTTATTCTGAATAGTTTGGTCGAGTTCATCAAGATACTTCTATATAAACTAGCTAATGTACTATACAAACCGCTTTACAGATCAGATTCGTATTTTGATGTACTGTGTAGCGTTACTGGCTAACTACTGTAAACTCCGGTTTGTCAAGTAGTGTCACTAGAAAACTAGCGAAAGAAATTTAGTCTTTTTCAACAAAATTTGATTTTATAATCCTTACATCTTTACAATCTAATCATGTAAATCAAAGTTCATTGTTTAAAGTATACAGGGTCAACGACATTGGGTAGATATTGGGGTTAGAAAATGAGAGTTTGTGGTAAAGACTCAATTCCTTTGTACTTTATACCACTGTACATACAAACTGTCAAAACAGGACAGTACTCCGGATAAATCATCCAATTCTAGTGATATTATTGTTGAACTCTGCTATGACGTCCCTCGGCCTGTACATTGTTTATTGAACTCTGCTATGACGTCCCTCGTCCGGTACATTGTTAATTGAACTCTGCTATGACGTCCATTGTCCGGTACATTGTTAATTGAACTCTGCTATGACGTCCATTGTCCGGTACATTGTTAATTTTTTCCATTTTTAGGATTGCAAACAAGATGATCGAGTTGAGTGAGATCTTGAGGGACAATATTACCAAGGACGAACTCATCCCCGCCGCGAGCCTGGTCGTCACCGTCGGCGTGATCGTCGCCGGCGGGTACGTGATGTCCTATCTTGTCAGGATTGAGGAGGAAAATGTACAGAAACAACTGGGAGCCAAGGGACTAAAGGTATGATGAGACTGTAGATGAAATTTCAAGTGAACCTTTTATATATCGGCATGCCAGATTCATAACGGTACCTTTAAACTTGTCTGATCAAGGAAGATAAAGATATCACCGTTTTTCTGTTTCAAAAATTGTGGAATTTTGTCAATTTCATTCTGAGTCTGTGTGGCATAATTACCCAAGCCTCTTTTAATGAGAACTCACTATTTAAAATTGTCAATTTTTAGATTGAAAACCATTGATTTCTTTAGCAGCTAGTTACTCAGACGAAGGTTTTTTAAGGCACCTACTCTAGGTTGACCCTGAGAAAATTAATCCTACTCTTAATAGACCCTGAGTAAACTAATCCTTCTCGAAGTTTACACGGATTAAACTACTCCTACTCTAAATTGACTCTGAGTAAACTAATCCTTTTTTAGGTGGACCCGGAGTAAACTAATCCTACTCTAGGTAGACTCTGAATAAACTAATCCGTTATACTGACTTGGAATAAACTAATCCTACTCTAGGCTGACCCTTAGTAAACTAATCCTACTCTAGGTAGACCCTGAGTAAACTTATCGTACTCTAGGTAGACCCTGAGTAAACTAATACTACTCTAGGTAGACTCTGAATGAACTAATCCGTTATACTGACCTGGAATAAACTAATCCTACTCTAGGTAGACCCTGAGTAAACTATTCCTACTCTAGGCTGACCCTGAGTAAACTAATCCTACTCTAGGTAGACTCTGAATAAACTAATCCGTTATACTGACCTGGAATAAACTAATCCTACTCTAGACTGACCCTGGATTAACTAATCCTACTCTAGGTAGACCCTGAATAAACTAATCCTACTCTAGGTAGACCCTGAATAAACAAATCCTACTCTAGGTAGACCCTAAAGTAAACTAATCCTACTCTAGGTAGACCCTGAATAAACTAATCCTACTCTAGGCTGACCCTTAGTAAACTAATCTTACTCTAGGTAGACCCTAAAGTAAACTAATCCTACTCTAGGTAGACCCTGAATAAACTAATCCTACTCTAGGTAGACGCTGAATAAACCAATCCGTTATACTAAACTGGAGTAAACTAATCCTACTCTAGGTAGACCCTGAAGTAAACTAATCCTACTCTAGGTAGACCCTGATTAAACTAATCCGTTATACTCATGACCTGAAGTAAACTAATCCTACTCTAGGTTGACCGGAAGGGTAAGGTTGTCCCTGAGCTGAAGATTCATGAGCTCCGAGCAGAAACTTACAACGGGATGATTCGTCTTCTAAAACCCGGTTGTAGAACCGTAGTTCTCATCGTGGATAGGTAATAATACTTTAATACTTTGCTGGTGAGGCCCACCATAGTTTCAGTAGAAGTAAATATTTTCATTTACTGATAGCGCCGATTGAAGGATTCATAATGAGATAGATAGAACGATAGATGTTACCGCCATACTTTTTCTATTGGTTCAGAATAGACAACAAACACATGACTGAACCCTGATTGGATCAGGGGCTAATGGACTCGGCATTCAGGAATGGGGGGCTAGCATGTTGTTCTGTTAATGTAGGAATAGAGTAGAAAATGTTGCAGCGGTGTGCGCAGAATTTTCTTCAAATGCACTTTTTTTACTTCCTCGAAATTTTAGATGTTTTGATTTTCTTCTGTGGGAAATAAATCAAAATCTGTAATTGTTAAATTAGAAAAGGAAGTAATTACATGTTGTAATTGTTAAATTAGAAAAGGAAGTAATTACAAGTTGTAATTGTTAAATTAGAAAAGGAAGTAATTACATGTTGTTTTTGTTGTAATTGTTTAATTAGAAATGGAAGTAATTACATGTTGTTTTTGCTTTTGAAATTAATCAAAACCAGGATCAATGGGACTGACAGAAATAATTAAGAAATCCTATGTTTTTTTAAAGAAAGAAACATGATTAAAGAAATTTAAAATTATGACTTTACACAAACATTTGTTTTGTGTGATTGTTTGTATCCAACTCCAAAACTTTAATTCTGTCGAACCAAATTGGCAAATTATAGTTTGAATTTATGTCTCATAGCTCAAGTTCTTTTGTTGTTTGCAACCTAAACTTAACATGAAGTGTGCAAAACGTTATTGGATTCAGGAGTGATTATGATCCAATAAATGTTGATGCGGATCAGGATCCTGGATCCTTACTGGAAAAAATGTATCTGGATTAAAATCCGGTTCCGGTTACGGATCCAGGTCAAGAACATTTCTTTAAAAAAGTGAAGGGTATTAAAATAAACATTCAAGTGAAGGGAATTAAAATGCTTGATCAATAGTAGATAGGGTTGAAAATCAAGAAGTTTTAATCCATAAAATATTTTACCCAGGGAGTCGAAGGAGAAGCTGGTGGCCAAGTTCTACAAACACGCCTGGCCCTTCAGGAGGAATAAAACCTTGATGTTCGGGTTCATGTATATAGAGAAGGGTTTATCCTGGTATAAGAAGATACTGAACCTGACCCTACCAGAGCCCAGGGATATCAAGATCAATCCTAAAAACTGTATTGGTGAGTTAGGAATCTTTTTGACGTCAAGAAAAGAAGAATGTCGGGATTTTTACTTAAAGGGACTGTAAGCGTAATTTCAAGTGAGTCTCCGTGCTAAGATTTCAATGTCCGATTTACAGTGGTACTCATGAAACCTTAATCTGATCAAAAATGTGGAAGATACTGTCGTTTTTCTGACTTGAAATATGGTTCATTGTAATATGATTTCTCCATTGCGTGTTATAAGCAACAAATGCACAAGTCATTTTCTCAGAGAAACCGCAAATGAAAATAAACAGTTTTAAGAAATAAAAGCATGGATATTTAATTCATACTTTATCAGACAAAGCTTTTGAGGGTACCCTTGTGAATCGGGCATTACCATCGTTTCACATGGAGGAACACTTCAAATTACGCTTACAGCCCTTTTAACAAAAGAAGAATGTCTGGACTGCTGATTCTGATTTTATGCCTGGATTTTTATAAAGCAATTGATAACACAAGTTGTTTGCAATTTATATTTAGATTTATATAATTAACTAGGCTTTTAGGACGCTTCGCGCCCATCTTCTTTTTCAACTTTTAATTGTGGCTTTATCTGGGAGGAGTACTGAGCATCTTCTCTTTGTACAGTATGAACAAAAAAAATTTAAAATATTTTTTCGTGCATTTTCAAAATTTTACAAAATTAAATAATTTATCATTGCCGTGGTTCTACCGAGTTCACTAATCTAAGAACATTGCCGTGGTTCTACCGAGTTCACTAATCCAAGAACATTGCCGTGGTTCTACCGAGTTCACTAATCTAAATTTAGGGCAAATCTGTCAAGAGGTTTATGAACTATAATTATTAGTCCGACAAAATTATTAATAATAATGATAATTTTAGAATAAATTGCTTATTTTACAGTGAAATAAGTGCAATTTTATGTGTTCTTTATTTTCTGTTTTAATACTTTTTCAAAATCTAACAAAATTTCGTTTTTCTTGGTATATTTGACACTTGTGACGTCGTGTATAATTGATCCATTTCTCTGTTGCCACCTATTGTACTTGATAATTTATTTGATAACTACTAAATATATGATATATAAACTCATATATCAATATCATCCATATTTAAAAAGGATAATTATTCTAACAAACACAAGTTATAAAATTTGCTTTTTAGGAACTGTTCTGAGTTTAAATGGACATCGACGATATTTCTGCATGTATCATGCTAAGCACCCCGAGGCCGCCAGAAGGCCAGGGTACTATACGTCCTCAGGAGCATTCATGGGCTTCGAGAGCGAGAATGACAGTTCTGATAACGAGGATATCGAAAGGGTGAGCATATATTTTTGTATTTTTCGTCAACCCTCAGCTCAGGTCGGAAATAATGTTCACGAAAGATTCAAATTAAAGATTTTCATCAACTGAGGATCAAAAATTAAATTAATGCAACTGATATGATTAAAAATATTTTCTTTTTCATCAAGTTTTAAGTTCATTTTGCATTTCTAACAGAATTTGTATAAAAAAAGTCATGTTAAATTTATTTCTGTATATGATTAAATTGATTCTCAACAAATGCTCAAGAATAAGATTAAGGAATAAGATGAAATAAAACGGTTAAACCAAGAAAATGTAAATTTCCTTAAACCAAGATAATCAAGAATAAGATTAAGGAATAAGATGATATAAAACGGTTAAACCAAGAAAATGTAAATTTCCTTAAACCAAGATAATCAAGAATAAGATTAAGGAATAAGATGATATAAAACGGTTAAACCAAGAAAATGTAAATTTCCTCAAACCAAGATAATCAAGAATAAGATTAAGGAATAAGATGAAATAAAACGGTTAAACCAAGAAAATGTAAATTTCCTTAAACCAAGATCATGAAAATAATAATAAGACATCTAGACAAAAAGAACTTTGCCTTTATGAAAACTGTATTTATGGAGAATTTGTTTATCATGAGATTCATTACAAATCTAAAGGTGGAAATCATATTTTCCAAGGAGAGGGAAAATTGAGAGAGAAGAAATATCTTTCAACTTAGTTATTTTTTTATATTTATTTTAGATAAATGGAAAAACTTTATTTTAGGGAAAATTGATAAATTATATTTTCCCCATCAGATCCATTACCATCTCATGAGTGTGAATCAAATTGACGGGATGAAAGTGGAAGGGAGTCGGAAGGGAGTTGGGAGGGGGTAGGGAGTCGGAAGGTCCTCCTTCAACAGATGAGGAAAAAAATATCATTAACAGTAAAAATAAAAAAGCCTTCAGTTGAAGTCCAATATTTAACAATTAATAAAAATCATGATATTTTTTTGACAACATTATTATAAATTGCGGTAATTATTATGTCTACAACTTTTTCCAATCTACAAAATAAGAAAACCGTTATTTTTTATATACAACAGCAGCGTACGATTCAACAATTTTCCACAGTGTTATTTTTTCAGTGAAAACTTATTTGAAAGTCTTTTACGGCATTGACTGCTCTTTTTAGGGTACCATGTAACTCACAAACACATTTTTCAAAGTTGAAGAATGAATAGGAAGCACGCAAGATTATCATTCTTTTTCGATACTTTTTCCAAAAAAATGTATTTAAATTTTACATTTTCGTCTAAAAAAAATGTATGTCCTAACATATTTGGCTAAAGTGATTTGTGCTGAAGAAGAATTTTAAATAAGTAAAAAAATAATTTTTTATCGATAATTAGTTGATTATAAAATGTTTTGAAGAAAAAAAATAAAAATTTTAAGTTTTAGATTGAAACCTCAATTAAAGTTTTCTATGGAACCCGCCTGCTAGGAACACGGTTGACAGAATTGGGATAATTGGAATTTTGACTTCATTAAAATTTTACATTCGACATTTAGATTTCAAATTAAAATGATAATCCTTCGTCCAAAACCGATTTATTTTAATTTAATCCTAATCCGCCCTCCCCTGGATTCAGGTCTCCCAGTTTTTACCCGAATCAGTAAACTATTGTAAAAAAAGTAGATTGTATCTATTTTGTTGGTATTACTTCTCATGATATGAAAATAAGATTTACTTGATTTATTTTTTTTATTCTTGTCTCATATCTTCCATTCCTTCTCTTTTGTTGAATTTTCAATTTAAGTTCTGTATTTATTTTATTTTCTGTTTCATCCTTAAACTATTTTCTTTCTTAATTTCCTTGGTCGCAACTCCGGTCTTCTCATTTCATACTTTTTTACTGCAATTTGTTTTTGTTTATTATTTTCCGTCAGAGGTGAGAACATCTGTTTTGTGAAACTCAGGTTGAAATATTGATCTCCATCCTGCTAGATTTACAGATCAAGTTCCTATTCGATATCCCGTGGAGTTCATGCCATAACTTTTATTGAAGAATTCGGCATTTATATTCCAATTTAAAGTGTCTACATTAGATATTGAGCTCAAGCGTTCAAGATTTTTTTTGCATAACATAAAACAATGAAGATGATGTTAATGGTAATACTGAAGTGTTCATGAATATTATGATAATGATAAGGATAATGTTAGAAATTAAAGTGATAATGATAATTATGATAATAATGATAAAAATGATAAGGAAAATGTTAGTAATGAATTTAATTATAAAAGGATAATGCTAGTAATGAAAGTGATAATGATAATTATGATAATAATGATAAGGATAATGTTAGTAATGAATTTAATTATAAAAGGATAATGCTAGTAATGAAAGTGATAATTATAATTATGATAAGGATAATGTTAGTAGTGAATAAAATGATAAGGATAATGCTAGTGATGTAAGTGATAATGATAATTATGATAATAATGATAAGGATAATGTTAGTAATTAATATAATGATAAGGATAATGCTAGTAATGAAAGTTAAAATGATAATTTTTATAATAATGATAAGGATAATGTTAGTAATTAATAAAATGATAAGAATAATGCTAGTAATGAACGTGATAATGATAATTATGATGATATTGATGGGGATAATGTTAGTAATTAATAAAATGATGATAAGGATAATGCTAGAAATGAAAATAATGATGGATGATGATAGTGTTAGTGATTAATTAAGTGATGAGGATAATGATAGCAATGGAAGTGATAATGATAATGATAGTAATGAAAGTGAAAATGATAATGATGATAAGGATAAGGTTAATAATTGTAATGAAAGTGCTAATGATAATGATGATAATGGTTATAATAATGATAAGTAAAGTGATAATAATGATAATGATATTATCCTAGGCAAAGCCGGCTCCTGTGCTTGATTCTCCTGATCACCTTCCAATATTCGAGGATCAGCTCCTGGATGGACTTCAGAACTGGATGGATCGACTCTTCGAAGGAACTACCTACAGGTTTGGATCGTTAAAAACATAAACTAAAATAACTGTATTACTGTTAAGTTTGCTTTTTTAAACTTTGCAATATCTTTATTCCCAAAAATATATATATATATAAGCGATCGTTATAACGGATAGTTTTTAACGTTTTTTTTGCATATTTCTTCCGTTAAGGTAAAAATTTTACAAAATGTATTAAAGCAAATGTTAAAAATAAAAAATTTGTACTGCTTACTGAATACTTTTAAAGTAGTTTAACTTTAACGTTTACGAATATATACAGAGTTTATTTCATAAAAAGATATTAAACAGAGCAATCAATTATTGTCTTGAGTTTTTTTTCAAACCTGAGATTTGGGAACATTGTCGGACTATTTCCAGTGGGTTCTTTTACTTTTATAAGACGTAAACACTCCCTTGAAACTGATTGTGTTTAGGTATCATGTCAACTACTGGCCCGAGTTCCCGATATCTCCCTCAACTTGGAACAATAAGTGAACTTGCATCTTGGAACGCGTGGTGTTCCTTCGTTATATTTCCCCTTGAAGCTGGAACACTGATAAACCCCTGGAACAAAATCTTATCAAAAAAACATCCGAATATTAAATATTAAAAAAGATAATCTTTCTGTATTCAGTCTCCCCTTGATCTCAGATATAAACGAGGTTAAGACCACGAACCTCCTCCCCTGGAATATGCATATATCGGATTAGTTTAATAAATCCGGGAAACTTCTCACCGCTCTAGTTCTGTCGGATATTACGTTAATCTTTAACGATTGATCTTGATATCCAATGTGAACACTTTCAAATTTGAGGATAAGAGATTGATCTCTCGGTAAAAGAAGAATAAAACACAAAAGTTCTAACAACCTCAGAGTTTATCATGTTTTTTTTGCTCGGAAATAAACGTGAAATCTGGAATTTCAAAAATTTTAACCTCTGTAAACCTTTTTAATTTTCTTACTTTAGTTTTTTATTAAACAATACATTCTCGTAAATTGTACGCATTCTTACATTATTAGTAAAATCTGCCCGCATTTTTTCACTGGGCCGCCCGATGTTGATTGGTTATACGCTAGGACTGATTAACCGATGTGCACTTCAATATCCTATAAATACCACAACAACCGGTTTAATTATAAATTGTGATCCTTGAAACCCAGTAAAAGAAAAGTGTGTCACTTTTCACCACATTTAGCACATTGTGCAACTAATTGTAAATATTGATAATAAATCGTTATGAAATTAAAATTCGAAATTTTTGTGTTCAGAACTGTAATAATTTCCTTACAAGTATCAAACGAAACGTTGGAACCAACTATGTTCATTTATGTAGAACTCGAGGTTGTATAGTAAGGTTAGATTCTCTGGATGCTCGTGAGACTAAGGAAGGATTGTCTCAGCTTGTCAGCTGTAAAAAAGTGTAGAAAATTCTCCCCCCCCCCTCCCCCTCTCACCTACAACGTTATCCTATATCCTACGCAAATAATCAGATTCGTCACAGAGTATTTTGCGTGTCCATTGCTAGGAAAACGACATTTTAAGAAAATTGGAGCGCATCTAGAGTATCAATACCAACTATACTACCAGTGGCACAGCTAGTGGTGGGTCTGACCGAGTTNACTTGACTCCAGCATGATCAATGATCATGTTTGAGGACCATCTTTTATCAAATTATGCCATTAAAGAAAAAAATACAAAAAAAATTGGCGCTTCGCGCATCATTTTTAATAGAATTTCTATTTTCTCGCTTTCGACTTAAAGAAAGTCAGTCATTCTTAATTTATCCTCTCAAAAAAAACTGTATATTTGTTTTTTCTTATGAGCATTTCAATACATAGATCATTTAAGGTTACAATAACAAGAAATGTAATAATGATTATATCAGACTATTAGGACTAACAGACACTAAGAATTACTAAGAATTACTTGAGAAATACAATTGTTTTGCCTTTCGCATACGGGTTTAATTAATTTACCCATGTCGTTCTTTTTAAAGTTGTTGGATGTCTATGTTTTTAAACACAATCCATGAATATTTTAAGAATTTGATATATTATTAAGAGCAAATAAAAAAAGAAAACAACAAGTCTCGGGGTTACTAAAATGTGGTCTAACATTTTTTCAACTTTAAAATTGTCTGAGATACAAGGAAATTTGTCCAGAATTAAGTTTATTTAAAATCAACATAATTGTTCAAATATTTAAAGGGACACACCGGCCATGTAAGGTAGTTAAACTAAGGATGCAGTGTTGTGTACAAATTCTTCATGATTCATTTGAGACATATTAAACTTCTTAAGATCTGTAAATCCTGAGTTTGAGCTCAAAGTCGACGTTCAAAATAGTATTTCTGGCTGGATACGTTTTCAGAATATTTTTTTTTTTAATTATTAGATAACGACGACAAAAAATGTATACAAAATTCTTTAGTAAACTAATAAGTTATTTAGGAACAGGTTAAGAAAAAAAAATAATCTTATCATCGAAACAAGTAATCTTGTTCAATTATTAGTTTCTATTTTTTCATTATTCACAAAGATTTTGATATTATTGAAAAAACGACATTTGAAGAATTTGTTGAAATCTGCGAATAAATTCTTAGAAAGTAAGAAATTCAATATAATGATGAAAACAAAATAATTGATTATAGCTTTCATTTATTGACAAATTTCTTTTGAGAATTATATTCCTAACCATCTAATTAGTTCACTGTATAATTTTTACTTCATTTTTCGTCGTCGTTATTAAATAATAAAAAAAAAAAAATCGATTCTGAAAATGTACCCACACAAATTTGATGCTGTCTTAAATGAATCCTAAAGAATTCGTCCACAACACTGCATACTTAGTTTAACTACCTTACAAAGCCGGCCTGTCCCTTTAATATCTCCTTCAATTCTAAAGATACCAAGAAGGTAGACCTGATTTTGGAAAGCTCATTAGACTCTCATTTTTTTTATACACTTTATGTAATTTATTAATTATCGGAAATCAACGACAATATTATTGGGACACCCTGTACAAAATTAATAAAAGTTTTCAACGCCTGCTTATAGAGAACATTTCTCTCAGAAAACTTTTTCTTTGTTGATTCCAAACCTTATTTTGCACTTATGTTATTACAAGGGGGAACAGAACAATGTACAGGGTCTTTCAAGAAAAATTTGTATTCACTCAAAATTAAAAGAAAACCCTGTACATTGTCCATAGTTTCTGAGATCTTAACTCCATTTGCAAACTTTTCAGTTTGCGGTGGATATTACAATTACATTTTACAATTTAAGTAGGTTTAGGAATATTTATGAGTTGACACTAGAATCCTCTAGGTTGATAACAGGAACTAGAATCCTAAAGGTTGATAACAGGAACTAGAATCCTCTAGGTTGATAACAGGAACTAGTATCCTCTAGGTTGATAACAGGAACTTTTTTTGTTGGTATTAATAATATGAGGAACCTTTTGAAGTGGATGATTGGAACCTTTTAAAGTGGATACTAGTAAACTTTTAAAGTGGATATTAGTAACCTTTCGAAGTGGATACTAGTAAGCTTTTTAGATGGATATTAGGGTGGATGTTAGGAACCTTTCGGAGTGGATACTAGTAAACTTTTTAGATGGATATTAGGAACCTTTTTAGGTGGATATTAGGATCCTTTCGAAGTGGATATTTGTAACCTCTTTAGATGAATATTAGGAACCTTTGAGCGTGAATGTTAGGAACCTTTTAAAGTGGATATTAGTAATCATTTTAGGTGGATATTAGGAACCTTTCAAAGTGGATACAAGTAACCTTTTTAGATCGATATTATCCACCTTTTTAGGTGAATATTAGAAACTTTTCCATGTGGATATTCGGTCCCCGTTAAAAGTGAAAATAAGTAACATTTTAGGTGAATGTTAAGACCCTTTTAATGTAGATTTTAGGAACCTTTAAATGTAGATATTAGGAACCTGCTAAAGGTGGAAATTAGTAACATTTTAGGTGAATGTTAAGACCCTTTTAATGTAGATTTTAGGAACCTTTAAATGTAGATATTAGGAACCTGCTAAAGGTGGAAATTAGTAACATTTTAGGTGAATGGATCGCAGCTTTCTGGATAGACGTTGAGATCGATACATTTAGACAATTTAGCTTCTTTTTCCGTGTAAAAGTCCTGTATATGTTATAAAAGACTTTGATTATATATTCAGTATCTAGGTTTTGCTTGCAGCTACAGTAAATCCTAGATTGCCTTATTTCTCAGATAATTCCCTAGCTCTGTATAAAATAGTTCTTATATCCGTACTTTTAATCCCCCCTCCCCTCCACATTATCCCCCTCTTCTACAGATTGCCTCGCAAACTTTCTTCATTAAAAACCTTCGAACCAAATATTTCTGTAGGATACAATCTTAATGGTGGTGTATTTTCCGCTATACTCCACTTCTGACCTACGCTAAATCCGCTATACTAAACATCCGACCTACTAGCACGTGGTTTTACAGCTGCTATATGGACTTGTGGCCGCAGCGTCCGGTCCCCTAGCCGCGGCACTCGCCCCCCTAGCCTGTCCTAGCCGCAGCGCCCGACCCAGAATTTGTCTTAACCTAACCTAACCCTCAAATAATACTAAAATAAACAACTGGCGTAGGTCGGAAGTTCAGTAGGGGGGATGTTGCGTATACGATGTAACATTACCAATCTTAATATATATAATAAGAAATCGTTTTGTTACACGGTTACCCGCAAAGGTTGAGTCTTCAGAGACGATTGTACGGAGTTTATTTAGTCCTTTTATTTGCAAATCAAGCCTCAAATTATCAAATATTTTGAGTTTTAGGTCGTCTTTACAGTTTCGTCCTTTGTGGGTTACCCAGTAAACAGATTCGTAACTTAATGATGGTGAAATTCTTATGAAAAAAAAAATTAAACGAACTACAACCGTTGNTAAGGGTTGGGGAGGGGGGACAGGGGTTATATTAGTTACTACCCACAAATGTTCAGGAAGATGCTATAAAGATTTTCTTCAAACTACATTCCATAAATCATTTTAGTATGGAATAAATTATCATGCAACTATAAAACTTGTATTCTCATAAATATTTCTAGATTATATACTTCATATTATAAAAAATGGCTGATTATGTAATATTTTATGACTTTTTTGGACAGCTCAGGTCAGGAAACCTTTTTGATAAATATATTTTAATTTATATTTAAATCCAATAAACGTTCAAACGGCTGAACCGATCGGGTACAAACTTTTCAAAAATACACCAACTTAAACGGACAAATCTGGGAACATTTTCCTAAATTGGAGAACGATGGAAAAATGGCAGCTTGAACATTCAAAATTAAAAGCAACAGAACAGGGGTGCCTTGTTTTGATTACAATCCCTGATTTAAGAGTTGACGGTTTGTATTTAGATTCAGATAATCAGGAATTTAAGATTTAAGTTTATATGTGTAATATTCCATAGTGACATTAATTCTTCGCACATAGTATACACTGTACATCGAGGGGAGGAAGGCCAGCCACAACAATTTCTAGTCCGAGCCACATTCTCTTCTTTTTCTCGTTCGAGTGTCTAGTCCTCCAAGATAAAACAATTGTTTAAGAATTGGGCCACGTTAAGGCATAAATGAAATATCGAATTTTAGTAAATCGAAAAAAAATAATTTCAATTGAATTAAAGTTTTCGAGTTCTATGTCCTTAAAATGTTCACGTTTTTTACGCGCATTTTCAGATATTCTCGGTGTAGAATGCCGCAAATAACTCCGAGATTATAGAACTTTAATCTTTTTTTTTAATTATAGTGAAAACCATAAATTTTTTCCGGATGGTTCCATGGGGAAAATGAAAGGCATAGGTATGCCAAATATTTTGCTATTTATTTCATATCGCGAAGGTAGGCGGCTATTACGAAGGCAGACGAATTTTAAGTTTTAGCTAAATAAAGTATGACATCATTCTCATATCTCCAAAGATTCAAACATGATTTAATCATTGCAATACTTTAGTCTATCCATATTTTATGCCCTAACGTGGCCAGATTTGTTAAAAATAGTTTAATCTTCAAAAATTAGAAACTTTTCAACGCATCATAAACGAAGGACGAGGATTTCGAGATGGTTCGGACGAGAAAATGAGGAGAATGTGGCACGGACGAGAAGTTGTTGTGGCTTGCCCTCCTCCCCTAGTACATCCATCTCTTTTTTGATCCAGAATTTTAGAAATTTATGTTGGTCTCGTCAGATAGGATTCTCTGGTGTGGATGTCATGCAATTCATGGAATTATTGGAAGATTTTTGAGATGGCAACCTTGTCGAAGATTTCAGAATAAACAGAAAGTTATTAATATTTGTGAATAACCCTGTATAGTGTAGTATATTGTATAAACAAACATGAAATAGTTTCATCTTTAATCCTCTTTTAGGATTTTATATTTAAACCTAATTTTCTTTGAAGCTCCATGGGATTAATTCGGATTTTCGTTAAATGTGCATGTCATACTCGGCCGATCACCCGGCCCCGGGGAGGCCTTGTCCCCCTGAGAAAAAAAAAATGAAAAAGAGCAAAAACTTTAAATATAAAAATAAACATGCCATTAAAGTGACTGTAAGTTCGCATTTCCGATTCATGATGGCACCCTTTAAACAGATATTTTTTTATGGCTAAAAATTTCTTTTTTCTTTTTGGTTTCTCTATAAAAGTGACCATGCGGATTTATGGTGCAGTATCAATAAAGAAAAGCGTCAGAATTTACCACACTTCACGACAATATCTTCATCATCGCTACTCTGATAGAAGTTGAATGGTATGATTGTGAATAAGAAACGCCAACGTATATTGTTTTAAATTTTCTCTAAAAATAAATGACAACCTACGGCCACAACTTTCCTAGAAATTGAATATATAAGAAAACAAGACGAATCAAGGATCCCTGAAGATTTATCCCATTTTTGCCCCGGGAAACCTTCTTCTGAGTATATTGATGTAAAGAAAATACTGAATAATATATGGAAGCATATTAAATCTTGAAGAAATAACACTGTAAACTATCACACAAAGTTTGCAACTTATTTTCCCAACAGAAAATATTTGGACTTTTTGTGGAGAAAAAGATTTTGTAACAAATATAGACAAAAAAAAGTTTTTCATTTTGAAAAATATTTAAAAAATCATTTTTCATAGTGATGAACAACTTTGAGCCGTTTTCTGTCTTTTTGTTTATTCTGCAAAAATATGCAGTATTTACAAGTAAATACATTGCAAAAATATTCACTATATTTGTACGTAAATACATTTCAAAAATATTTATTATTTGTACGTAAATACATTGCAAAAACATGTATTATTTGTACGTAAATACATTGCAAAAATGTGTATTATTTGTACGTAAATACATTGCGAAATATTTATTATTTGTACGTAAATACATTTAAAAAATATTCACTATTTTACGTAAATACATTGCAAAAATATGTATTATTTGGTAAATACATTGCAAAAATATTTATTATTTTTAGTGCAAAAGCTTAAGCTAAAGAATTTAACATCTTATAAAGTTAGATGGATGCAACTTGCCTAAACGGTGGCCTAAAAATGGACATTTATTCACGACTTTAAAATTGTAATTAATCAATACGTTTTAAGGAGAAAGAAAATTCATGTCTTGGAACTTTGCAAAAAAAACAGTCTGCCAGTTTTGTATCTTAAGAAATTTGCAGAGATCTTTAAAAATTTGGCAAGATTTTTATTCATGACAAAAATTGTATAATTTGTTTCAATCGGAACTAAAACCGAGAAAGTATATTTAAATGAGTTTATATACATGAGTATTTTTTATTTATAATAAGTTGCATTTTTTTTAAAGCGTGAATTGTGCAAATTTTGCGATGGTGGGAGAGGGGGGGGGGGTGTTGAGATGTCCATCCCCACCCTTCCTCCAAAATTGTGCATATATGAATATATATTAAGATTAATTAATGAAACTATTGAACTAATTTCTCCAGGATCTCTTGAACCTTCATCTTCCCATGTTCATCCGCCAAACCAGCCGGAGTTCGTCCTGTTCTATCCGCCACACTCCGCCCTCCGCCTTCAATAATAACCTGCAAACAAATTTACTTTAAATCTAATTATGTATTTTGGTTGTTGCATTGTGGTTGCTTTTTTGTGTGTCAAAACAACGTGAAAACGGCTGAACAGAACCGATCAGGCCTATATTTTCGTAGGACCATGATACGACCCAAATCCGAACAAATAAAAAATGTTTCCTCAAAAAATTTCAAAAAGTTAAAAAAATTTAACAGTAAAATCTGTAAAATCAATGAATTAAGTCTATGCCACAAACTTATATCATTGCATCTTAAGGGTGTAAACCTTTAAAATACCAATCTAAGATTATTTGATCTTACATAATTCATAATTTGAAATTTGAAATTTTTAATTTTAATTTTCAATTTTCATTTTCAATTTTCTTTTTAAATTTTTATTTTCAATTTTCATTTTCATTTAAAATTTTTATTTTAAATTTTCATTTTAAATTTTCATTTTAAATTTTCTTTTTAAATTTTTCTGTTCAATTTTCATTTTCATTTAAATTTTTATTTTAAATTTTCATTTTAAATTTTCATGTTCAATTTTCATTTTTAATTTACAATTTTCAATTTTAATTGTAAATTTTTATTTTTGTTTTCATTTTCAATTTTCTTTTTCAATTTTCATTTTTATTTTCAATTTTTCATTTTTATTTTCATTTTCAATTTTCATTTTCAATCATCATTTTCAATTTTCATTTTCAATTTTTATTTTCATTTTCAACTCTCATTTTCAATTTTCATTTTCATTTTCAATTTTCATTTTCAATTTTTATTTTCATTTTCAAATTTGATTTTTCCTTTTTTTCATGTGAATTTTTTTTGATATGGTTTATTTAAAGTTTATTATTTTGTTTTATCATTTCTCTCTCCAGGGTCTACGGCCGCCAGGGGTTTTCGTTAATTAAACTAAATTTTATTTTAGAATAGTTCAAAGGAACTTCCAGAAAAATTAAGTTTAATTCTTTTCTTTTATTTAATTTTATATTTTTCTCTTTTCCAATATTTCTCCCACATTTGTACGGTTAAGGTGGTAAAGATTTTAGGGATTTGTTCACCTGATCAAAAATGATTACAAGTGCTAAGTGAATTATCCTTTAAACAAAAATCAAAAAGAAGAGTATATCATCAAAAGTTTTTTATGTCAAATGTTATTTGTTCTTGCAAATCTTCCAGTTTCGTCAACAGTGGTAACTCGTCCTAAATCATTTGTTCTACAAGTAACGTAAATTTAAAGTAAATTGCACGTAGGATTCAAATATTGTGTTTTCAATCAAGTGCTACAAGGTCACAAAGTTCTACCTGTAATATCGCAAATAATTTTGCAATAAAATAATTCATCAGACAATTCCTTTGCTCTTCGGCACAGGCGTTTCCTAACTCCAGAGATCATTCTTGTCCCTCTAAAATGTTTTGGCTGCAGTGCCCCCCCCCCCCCACGCCCAAGCTTAATTCAGCCATCAGTCCCCATCACTACTAGCTCCAGGGCAGCATGGCTTCGCCCAGGGTGGTATTTACCTTGACTAGCTCTGGGTTGTCAAAACACTGATAGGACGAAGATGGTATTTACCTTGACTAGCTCTGGGTTGTCGGAAAGAGCTGCCCAGTGTAACGGTGTCCAGTCCCAGTGTAAGGGGTTAGCAAGCATAGGGTTTGCTCCATTCTGAAAATATTAATAATATAGTTTTGATAAAATCCTCTTTTTTTCTAGATTACACAAATAAGAGTTTTTTTTGGGTCTTATCGGTAAAAATTCTTTTATTTCAAATATTATGTTTGTTCAATCCATATTTCTTTAATAATATAAACCGAAAAATATATTTTTTATCGATCCAATTCCAAATTTGATAATTGTTTTTTTAAGTGCTCCATTATTTGGGAGTTTTTCTGTAAAACTCAATTATGTTCTCTCAATTTTTCATATAATTTTTTTTTGATTAATTATCATTTTTCATGAAATCATAGTTTAGAATCATAAGAGAAATTTTTTTTATTTTTTCTAGCTGATTTATATTCATTCAGATACAGGGTTACCCACAAAGGATGATACTTTCAAGACTCTATTTATTCTGTTTGTTTGGCTGCCTGTAACCATGTAAACTTGTTTATCCCTCGCAAAGTCATCATTATAGCATTAAAAGACCATATTTAAAGAGACTGTAAAGGAAAAATGAAAGGGGGGTATAGGATGAAACCTGAGAACCTCAGACGTTGAACGATACAAATAAAACATCTAATCTGATGTTCCTGTCTCGAAAACAGACAATTTTAATATGGAATATTTTGACAAATAAAAAGTTGACAACAATTTCAAATTACGCCACAATTATCACATTTAATAATTTCTTGATTTTTTTAGCATTTTAACGGAAAATCTTTGTATTTTATAATTTTAGGTGGAATCTTCTTAGAATTTTAAAGAAAATTGGTTTAGTTGAGTAAAATTTGGAAATTGATCTCTTATGAGAATTAAGTTAGAAATTACCACAGTTGGCAGGTATTAACATTTCAAAGAAAACGTGAACTTTTGTAGAATGATTTTAAATATAAAATATAATTATTTAATCGAAAAATGAGAAAGAATAAGATTTAAAAAAATATAATATAATAAGAAATTATATCTATACTCTCATATACATATCTAAATTATATTATTTATTAAATTAGATTTTTTTTGTCTTATTTAAAGTTGTTTTTTAAATCAGAAAACAAGATAAAAGATAATTTGCAGTCGATCGTTTTCATTTCTCCTATATGCTTAAGTTTTATTAAGAGATTTAATTCTGTTAATTTAATTACCTTCAGAAGCATTCTCGCCATGCCTATATGCTGTTCTATGCAGGCGTATATAAGTGGAGTTTGTCCGATCTTATTTGTACTATTTATATCAGCGCCATGTTGGATCAGAACTTCTCCAACCTACAGTACAGTACAGTACAGAACAGTACAGTACAGTACAGTACAGTACAGTACAGTACAGTACAGTACAGTACAGTACAGTACAGTACAGTACAGTACAGTATAGTACATTACAGTCAGTACAGTACAGTACAGTACAGTACAGTACAGTACAGTACAGTACAGTACAGTACAGTACAGTACAGTACAGTACAGTACAGTACAGAACAGTACAGCACAGAACAGTACAGTATAGTACATTACAGTACAGTACAGTACAGTGCAGTATAGTACAGTACAGTACAGTACAGTACAGTACAGTACAGTACAGTACAGTAACGTACAGAACAGTACAGTACAGTACAATACAGTACAGTACAGTACAGTACAGTACAGTACAGTACAGTACAGTACAGTACAGTACAGTACAGTACAGTACTAAACATCACTTAAAGGGACTGTCAACGAATAAAAAAAAAATTTAAGTTCATAAAGCGATACAAAACAGTTTCCTGTAAATCCTAAAATTGTCTAAATAAAAAAGATTCTTTAAATTCAATATTTACCCGTACAGTTTCAATTATATTACTCATAATGCAAGTAACTACAGTTAAACCCTAAATAAGCAATGCATTAAAAGAATTCGTCTAATGTCGTATGCTTCAATTTCTGTTAATGGAATGTTACAGATATTTAGTTTTTTAATCAAATGATTATATGAAGCTATTTAAAACTGTTCCCGCATATTCATGGTTATTTATTTATTTTCGCAAATACTGAGATTTACGTAAAATAGTATAAAACCCATTAAAAAATTGTCAAGACGACATTTGGTAAATTATTTCGATGTATGGCTGATTTAGGGTTTAACTGTATGAAACTATACATCTAATAAACTCGAGTCACGACGACACTTTTTTATGTACCTTGACTTCAGCTTGGGTTTAGCATTTCTATTTAACATTATTGCATGCAAATACTAACTAATCATGATCATTAAAACAATTTAAACTTTAATATTCTGATGGCCTCATTTTAATTAAAATCAGCACTTACTTAGAAAATTATGTAAAGACAATCCTTTTTTACAAATGTAAATTTAACCTTATTTGCTTTCTATGAATTTCAGAATATCTAGACAGATTTCATATATTTTTCTGTTATCATTAAAAAGTGCCTAAAAAAAAGGTTGAAATCTTATGAGCTTTACAAAATGTGGTCTACCTTTTTTATCTTTAAATTTGACGGAGATATGAAACAGTTGAACGGATTTGTTGATTTTTAATAAACTGGAATCTGGACAAATTTCCTAATTTTGAAGATAAAAAAATGTTAGACCACATTTTGGAAATTCCGGGACTAGTGCTTTTCGGTGTTAAATGTTTTAATAGTGATACTACACAATAATATTTACGAAATTATCCTGCATGGAACAAAGGTATAGAAGTCGTCATATTATTCCCATGTTTATTGAGACACCCTGTATTTTAGGGTCAGTAAATAATATTATATGCCGGGTTCTAGTGAATACAAGGTTATATATTAATTATACAAGATGTTTTTTTTAATCGGTTAGCTCCAACTTTATTTTTCTAAACCTTTTGATCCATGTTTAATCTTCTAAACTGTCTGCTCCATGTTTACTCTTGTAAGCTAATTGCTGCATGTTTACTCTTCTAAAATGTTTGCTCGATGTTTACTCTTGTAATCTAATTGCTGCATGTTTACTCTTCTAAAATGTTTGCTCCATGTTTACTCTTGTAATCTAATTGCTGCATGTTTACTCTTCTAAACTGTTTGCTCGATGTTTAATCTTCTAAACTGTTTGCTCGATGTTTACTCTTCTAAACTGTTTGCTCGATGTTTAATCTTCTAAACTGTTTGCTCCATGTTTATTCTGCTAATCTGTTTGCTCAATGTTTACTCTTCTAAACTGTTTGCTCGATGTTTACTCTTCTAAACTGTTTGCTCGATGTTTACTCTTCTAAACTGTTTGCTCGATGTTTACTCTTCTAAACTGTTTGCTCGATGTTTAATCTTCTAAACTGTCTGCTCCATGTTTATTCTGCTAAACTGTTTGCTCAATGTTTACTCTTCTAAACTGTTTGCTCCATTTTACTTTTCTAAAAATGTTTGCTGCATGTTTACTCTTGTAATCTAATTGCTGCATGTTTACTCTTCTAAAATGTTTGCTCCATGTTTACTCTTGTAATCTAATTGCTGCATGTTTACTCTTCTAAAATGTTTGCTCCATGTTACTTTCTTTAACTGTGCTTCATGTTTTTTTCTAAACTGTTTGCTCCAACGTTTTCTGTTTGATATGTTGCGAAGCAAAGCTTGCTTAATACCAGATGAACTCATCTATTTACGTGAAGTATTTAACGATATGAAGATGACATGGGCACATTTCTGCTCGCTTGAATAATTGTGAGGATAAACTGACAAGTCTTTCTAATTAATTATCTTATTTTGCAAAATACATTTTCATCCGTTCCATAGAGAGCTTCAGAGTAAGGAGAAATAAAAGCGTCATTTGTTTAAAAAAATTCTATTCGAAAACTTATTAAGTTAATAAATGAACCAAAAAAAAAAGATTGTACGTCGTATGGGCTTTTAATTAGCTTTTTTATTGTATCTTACAAATTGACACAGATATTAAATATTTTAACATTTTTTTTCAATATTTACTATTTACTGAGCTGAAACCCGTAAAAATTTCTCAACAACTTCGTAAGTTTGAAGGTTCAAAAATGGCAGACCACATTTTGAATATCTCAAGAATTTGAACTGGATTTTCACTAAAACTGTGTTCAAGAAATAATGCCGCGTCAAACCAAGACGATTTAGTAATCGTCAGATAATTCCCATGTTATTGGGACATCCTGTACGTAACCACCCAATCTAGTTTTTGATGATTATTCGAAGACGACATCAAGTCTGAAAAGATTGCTAAAAACCTCCATGCAAGGTTAGAACGAATTAAACGTTTACGGGTCGTCAAAAACTACATGCATGGAGAAACTGCCGATTGCATAATATAAAAAGACGATATCGATTCGTTACTGAATTCACATGTTTATTGTATGTAATATAAGTTCTTTGACACTTAAAATCCCTAAAAATGACTTCAAATGAATTTTGCAGACTGACTGTCCCCTCCGGTAGGAAAAGCCATTTATAAATATTTTTATCATATTTTAAATTGTTTGTTTTCGTTTTTTTTATAGAAAATAAATCTGACATTGATTGTCTCTTTTCAGCGGATTATCTTTTCAAAATTAAAACGAAAAAGAAAATATTTTTTCATTTTTTTAAAAGTTTATTTTAAATACTAGGCTTTTAGGGCGCTTCGCACCCATCTTCTATTTCAATTTTGTTCTCTTTGTGTTCATTGTAAAAAAAAACAAAAAAAGTTCGTAGATTTCAAAAAAAAATTCGTGGATTTTCAAAATGTTTAAAATTTAAATGAAATCAATTTTTGTTGGAGGCGAATTTCTGAATTTTTGATAATTCATAAACCTTCCATGGGGCCACGTGATGTCCCAAACAAAATTTGGGCCAGTTCGGTTTACGTTTATTGGATACAAAAAAACAGATACACTGTACCTGCTCCATCCCGTTCATAGCCGCTAGATGGAGCGGAGTCTGTTCTCCTTTCAGCTCCTTAGCTCCAGCCTTCGCTCCAAGTTGGAGCAGTTGCTCAGCTATCTGAGCTTTACTCCGCTCCTGCTCTTTCTTCCTTCTCTCCTTCTCATCCTCCTCCTCATCCTTCCTCTCCTCAGGTTCATCCTGTCCACATCTATACAATATATATATATCATCCTGTCCACATCTATACAATATATATATCATCTTGTCCAAATCTATACAATATATATATCGTCCTGTCCACATCTATACAATATATATATCATCCTGTCCACATCTATACAATATATATATCATCCTGTCCACATCTATACAATATATAT